GCAACTCCCCATGCGCCAGACCCCCTACCGCATCCCGGAAGCGGTAAGGGAAAACATGCGCAAGGAGATCGATGAGATGCTCCAACTGGGGGTGATTGAGCCTTCAGATAGTCGCTGGGCTTCTCCGGTAGTGCTCGTACCGAAGCGGAGATTAAACGAGAAAACTGTGTCCGATGCATACCCTATGCCACGGATAGATGAGCTACTGGACAGAATGGCCAGGGGTCAATATCTCACTACCATTGACTTATGTAAGGGGTATTGGCAAATCCCCCTGGCCCCAGAGGCCATCCCGAAGTCGGCCTTTGTCACCCCATTTGGCTTGTACCAGTTTAAGGTCATGCCATTTGGGATGAAAAACGCCCCAGCTACTTTCCAGAGGATGGTAGACCGACTCCTGGATGGGTTCCAAGACTACACCTGTGCCTACCTGGACGATATTGCCATTTTTAGCAATACGTGGCAGGAGCACTTGGCCCATATAGGAGCGGTTCTAGACAGGATTAAGGAAGCTGGTTTGACATTGAAACCGGCCAAGTGCAGCATAGGGATGGCCGAGGTGCAGTACCTCGGACATAGAGTGGGGTGCGGCAAACAGAAGCCCGAACCAGCCAAAGTAGAAGCCGTGGCCCAGTGGCCCACCCCTAGGACTAAAACCCAGGTGTTAGCCTTTCTAGGGACCGCTGGGTATTACAGAAAGTTTGTCCCTAACTATAGCGCCCTCGCCAAGCCCCTCACTGACCTTACCCGGAAGAATTTGCCCCGCCAGGTGACCTGGACCCCGGAGTGTGAGCAGGCATTCCAACATCTGAAAAATGCACTGATAAATGCTCCTGTCTTGGCAGCTCCCAATCCAACTAAACGTTTTCTTGTTCACACAGACGCTTCTATGTTTGGATTGGGAGCAGTACTGAGCCAAGTCGGAGCCGATGGCGGAGAACACCCCGTGGCTTACATCAGTCGCAAGCTGTTACCCCGAGAAGTAAGCTACGCCGCCATCGAGAAGGAATGCCTGGCTGTGGTGTGGGCCTTAAAGAAACTGCAGCCGTATCTATATGGACAGCCCTTTTCCTTACTCACGGATCACAACCCACTGGTATGGCTAAACCGGGTGGCTGGGGACAATGCCAGGCTGCTGCGCTGGAGTTTGGCGCTGCAGCCTTTTGACTTTAATATTCAGTACCGCCCGGGTAAACAGAATGGGAATGCCGACGGGTTGTCGAGACAAACTGACCTGGAAAAATGATCCGTGAGTCCCCGGACATCCCCAAGCCGATCCGTGTTGGATCAGACTGTGTATGCCGGCTTGTGGGCAAGGGGGAGCAGTGTAGCGGATGGCACTGGGCTGTCCTGCAAATGTCTTTGAAATAACTGCATTCGTGTGATCTGCTAGTTTTCTATGTGTTTTAAAAGAATTGTATTCCTCTGATTGTTCGGTAGAATCATTCGAATAAACTAAGGGAATGAAACTACCGAACAATCAGACCTCCCCTGTGTTAAGTGTGTCCTCAATCACCCGTTGCAACATTGTTGCGAATGGGTAATTGACAAGTTAAGTAGCCGTCCTTTGTTCTCAGGGGTGGCCGCCATTCGACAAACGAACGCGTGGCGGCGGCCATTTTAAAACTCCCAAACAGCGGTGTTTTGCCATCTAGTGTCTGGAACTCAAATCGGACACTCGACTAGTTGAACACCGCTGAAACCTCCACAAGCCCGGTCCGTTCGGTTCCAAACTACCAAACGGCCCCTCGTTCGGTAGATAGAAAGAACCGAACGAGGGATTCAGGCGAACCCTCCCTAGCCTCTATAGCTTTCGTGCAGTTTGTTCCCTTATTCCAGGACCGACCGCAGGGCCCATTCGCATGGAACTGTATTCGGCTATTTCAGTCAGTGCGGTCGGTCATTTTATTCCCTCCATAAATTTCCCGAACCCCTGGTCTGATCTGGGTGATTTTTGGATATGTTGTTCACCCAGATCAGGGCTATCAGGGGATGTAGGATTTAAAGGGGTACCCCTACGTTTAGGGGTACATCCAGAAACAGGGGGAATTGCTAGACTGGATAAGGGGATTATGATGCTGGCTGAGGGGAGGAGATGTGTGGGAGGTTACCAGGACAGGATTGGCTACTGTACTAATGAGTGTAAATCCCTCCCTTGCATGGGAGCATGCTTTAAAAGGCCACTGTGGATTAAAGCTTTCAGTTCTGCTCCTGAAACTGTGTGTCGTCCAGTTATTGGGATTGCTGTGGGGATATTGCTGTTATTTTACCTGCTGGAAACCTTGCCTGTGGATTTATTATTTACTTGTTCCTGAGCCTCACTTGGATCATAAGCGGAGATAACCTGGGGAATATTGCATCTCTGCTACATTTGGATTGGGTTTCTTGGAGGACTACAAGGTCAGCTCCAGTTCAATTGGCCTATCCCATGAGTCGTTGTCTCTTAGCGGGGTTGCTAAGGCCTTTACAGTTTATGGTTGTGGAATGATGAGGTTGCGGTCGCCCTGTTGGTGCTGCGGCCGTGCGTCCTCCTTCCGAGAGGGTAGGAGGTTAGAGGGGAAGATGGAGTGCTTGGAGGGGGAGGATAAACTATCCCTGTGGTGGGGGGGGAGGAAGTGGAGTGCCCCCAGGGGAGGGTCGAGGGGTGCGAGGTTCTCCTGGTCTGACACCTAGATTGCCAGGACGTGTGGGTATGGAGGATGGGGGGGGCCCGCTCGTGGCGGATTCCCACCAGTGCCTCTCCCTTCACCGCTTAATAGGCGGTGGTTGCAGGCCATCGGGTCGGATTCTTGGTTATGTGTTGGCTTGCCTGTATGTGTGTGGAGGTAGGGTGGTTTGTGTCGGGAGGAGCTGAAGACTGTTCTCCTGTGTTTTCGGAGCAGTATGAGTTTTACCTGCAGTATGTTTGAGTAGCAACTTCGTCGGTACAAGGTGGAGGGATGCTCAGGTTGGTCTGCTGTATGGCAGCCGGCAGTAGAAGGAATGCAGGCTCAGCTTCTCTGCAGTGGTAACAAGATTTTAACAAATAGTCAGTACATAGTTTTCATTAAAAGAGATCCGATCTTGAAATGTGGGGATGGTCTCGGGGGTAGCGTATTTGGGTTCGGTATCATGTCATGGTTGGGGCAGGTATGTAGGTTTGAGTTAGCCGGGAGGTTGTGGCCTGTTAGTCCTTGTTGTAGAGGAGCCCAGTAGGGCCGATAGTGGGCTGATTTTTGTATAACCATTCAGAACAGTCTGTCATATGAAACATGTATATGCAATTCTTTTTCTAAATAGGGTTCATCCCTAACCGGTTCACTCGCCATTTGTGGCGTTTAGGCAATACTGGCACCTGTTACAAAGAGGTTAAGCAGCCAGTTTAAGATGGCTTAGGATAGAAATTAACTTAGTTAACAGACTAACAAAACTAAATGTGAAGCTGTCAGCCTTGTTTAAGGTAGTATGGGCTGTGCGTTCGGGCCGGTTCGCCCAGTGGGTTGCCTGGAGGGGCTCCCAATTGGTTGGGAAGGATTAGTGGATTCCTTGTAGGTTTATGCTGTGGGCCTGGGAATCTGGAGTGGTCCTAGGGTGGTGGATGAGGGGAGTATGCCCATGGTAGTTGGTTGTAGAAGCGACTAGAGGGGCCTGGGAGGTGTACTGCTTTGTGGACCCTGAGGCCAGTTCCTTCACTGGGCCCTGTGGGCCGGCGTGCGGGTTCATAGGGTGCTGGGTGGGTCCTCTAGTGGAGGCGCGGGGTAGGCTGTTGTTGTGGGAGTTCCCTATGACCCGTGGGATACGCTGGCAGCCTGTCTGGGATCTGGGGAGGTTACTCTATTTTTCGTTTGCTGGCGATATTGTGGCACTAGTGAATAAAATACATGTTTTTTACAATACAGTTCCTGAGCAAATACCAAATAAACACATTGCGTGGGAGTCAGGTTCTATTTCTCGTTCGCTGGTTGAAATTGTGACCCCAATAAATGAAATACATGACGTTAATTACACAGTTCCTGAGTAAACACTAGATGTCACCAACCTGTACCCGGGGGTGATCTGCGGGTCTCAAGTGAGGTCCTGTGCACTCTCCCGTCCGTTAAGATGTTCTTAGTGACTGTGGTCAATTGGGGTGCCCCGGTACTGTGACCCCCGAGTCTGGTCCCGTCTGCAGATGGGGGCTCTCATAAGTGGAAGGGGAGGCCTCTCCTGTCCAGCGGGTCCAGACTGGATGTCAGTCCCCGGGGGGGGGGTCAGGGTGGTTTGCGCGGAGCGTGGGTCAGTTCTTGTGGGGTGTTGCGGTGGGCTGTTGCGTGTGGTAAGGGAGAGGGGTGCGTCTCCAGTACCTGTCTTGCGGTTACATTGCACTAGGCATGGGGACGATCGGGTGTCAAGTTATTTTTATTTTTTTCAAGGGGGGGGGGTGATCTCAGTATTCCATCATAGTGTGTGTCGCCCCGGGGGCTAGGGCGTCAGGGGGGAGGAGGAGCGGCTGTCCTGTGTAATAGTGTAAACCCAAACGACTAACCTTTATGCATTGGAATTATGAAACCTTTAAAACCTTTTAACAGAGAGATTGAACCTGCATGAATGAGAATGCAAGTCCTGCCACCCTGCTTGGCAGCTTGGGGGCTGCATAGTCAAAGTTCATCATGTCTGTGCTGGCATTGCTTCACTGGGTTGTGGTCTCTTCCTCGTTTGTTGTCTAGGCTGGAGCGGGGAATTGGAGTTCTTCTTGGGGTTGGTGTTGCGTCTGTCCCCTGCTGCTGTTAAGGTGAGGAGTTGGAGGCCCAGCGCTGCTACAAAGTCTTCCATTTCAGCTGGGTGATGAATGGTATGTTCTTGGTCTCCCAGGCGCACTTGTAATTTGAAGGGGTGGCCTCATCGATATTACAGTCCCTTCTGGGCTAGAGCCATGGTAAGAGATTTGAGGTCCCTTCTTTTCTTTAGGGTGGAGGGTGCCAGGTCTTGAAAGAAGGCCAGTGTGTGGGCCTTATATTTCGGCTGTGTAGCCCTGGCGGAGGTCATGATCCGCTCTTTAGTGAGCATGCGGCAGTATGTGTTTTGATCCCTTCTATCGCTTCCCGCAGCATTTGGCGGAAGTCGAGTTTGGCGAGTGGAGTCTGTAAGCTTTCTGTGGCCTCACTTTCGTCGGATTCTGAGCCAGAGTCCTGTGGGTCCTGACTCAAAGATGGCTGCCGTTCTTCGGAGGCGCACAATATTGTGGACACTGAAGGTGGCATGTCCTTTTTGTTGTCCCCCATATTTGTCTGTTGGGTATCATAGGGGGGAGTCTGGTAACCTGTTTGTAGGGCTGGATGCCTGATAAAAGTGGCGGATTTTAGCTGATTATAGCTCCTAGGCGGGAGAGCACAGGTTTCACACGTCCTTCTCCATTGGTGGTTAGGCTCCAGTAGAAATTGCCACATTGGCATTGCCTAGTAGACATAAAGCTCTCTGAGCCCATTCTCGTACAGTGTGTGAATCAAACTCATCTGTGCCTCATTTGCTAGGGTAAAATTTTGGATAATAGGATGTGCAATATCCAGAAGTTTGCCAGGGGTTGCATTCAATCCTTGTTCAATACCCTTACGAGGGTCTTTGCCAGATTTGGTTAAGAAGGTGACCAGCATGGGTTAAAATTCCAGTGTGGAGGCAACTTAGCCTGGAATAGTTGTCCTTGGGAATTCTGCCCACAATTTAGCTCTAATTTCCATCTCTAAGTGTTTGTGTAGCCAAATTTTACAGAAACTGGCAATGTGATCAGGAGGGGCCCATTTCAGCAGATCATGGATGTCAAATTACTCTTGGATCAAAGAATGAGAGGCCCGAAGCAGGAGGATGTCTGAAGAAGGCTCTTTATGTTGGGAATTACCCGAATTTGTATAATTGGTATGTGTGATAAAAGTCGCTTTAACAAACTCTGATGCTGAGGAATCCTGGGGCACATTCGCCAGGGGATCCTCATCAGAGTAGTTAGCATCATAATAATTCATCATATGATCAGTCAATCGAGAAGTAGAACCCTCTAGAGCAGGGTCCTCAAACTATGGCCCGCGGTAGCCCTGCAATAGCGTCAATGGGCCCCTTTAAAAAATTGCAGCCGCAAAGTAGTGCAGCCGTCACTTTCTCCCAGCTCCCTCCGCATGGGAGGGAAGAAAGACAGGCCGCGAGGCCGAAAGAGCCACGCCAACTCCCATCAGCCACAGTCACCCTCCTGCAAAAAAAGTAAAAATTAGCTGTGTGAATGTATGTATGTCAGTATGTGTGTATGTATTTCAGTATGTATGCATGTATGTGTGTATGTATTTCAGTATGTATGTCTGTGCATGTATGTGTTTGTATGTATGTCAGCCTTGGGTATGGACTCAGCAATAGTGGAGAAAAGCCATGCCTGTAGTTCTGCGGAAATGGCAGGGTCTTGATGATCAGACATGTCTTCCAAGAAATTATAAATCAAAATAACAATGTGATAATGAGGCTAGAATACATTCTCAGTTACTTAAAATGTAGAGAAATACTGCACAGGCAGTAAAAAAAAAAAAGTGAATTTTAAGGTAAAAGGCAGGCACGGTGGGGGTCAGCCACAATACAGTTAGTGAGGTTAAACCATGCTGTTAATCATAAAGTAGGGATCACCCACACAGTAAGCCAGAGGTGGTGTTAGCCACATTTAGTATGATTTTATGTGGTGTGGGTCACCCACAGAATAAAACAGAGGTAGTGTCAGCCACACAGGTATAATTTTAATGAGTGGTGTTAGCCACAAAATATCACAGCATAGGTGGGATACACCTTTAAATAGAGAAAAGGTGGGGGTCACCCACAGTAAAAACCCTTAACGAGCAGGCAGGTCTTGAAAATTCTTAGAGGAATCTGTAGGAAAAGAAATAGGGCAATCAGCAACTCAGAAGAAGGTATGGGCAGATTAACTTAAAAGGTTTAGTTGTTAAATATTAGTAAAGTTTACCTAATCCGGATAGCTGAACTTTATGCCCACAGATCCATCCTGTAATTGCGCAGAGAGAAAGGGCTGGAAACAGATGACTGACTCAAAACGGCTGCCGTGAAAATGGTGGTGGAGCGCCGCGTCAGAGCCGATGCGTTCATAAATAACGGCAAAGAAAGAGGAAGTGGGAGGAGTCTGGGGGCACTACATATTACTGTTATGCACTCTGGTTGAATTTTTACAATCTTTGTTAAGTATTTGTTTGCTGCTGGGAGTTTCAGTAAAGAAAAATAAGTAAATATGAAGCCTGTCTTGCCATAAAATTATGCCTCAAACTGCTGAGCTATGCCAATTTTATACATCTAAATTGACTGCCATGATGTCCCAAGTTTATGCATCTAAAGCTGGATGCTATAGTATGCCAATTGTATGCATCTAAAACAGATTGCCATGATGTGCCAAGTCATTTTTTTTTTTGTATATAGCGCCATCAGATTCCATAGCGCTGTACAATGGGTGGACTAACAGACATGTAATTGTAACAAGACAACTGGACGTACAGGAACAGAGAGGTGGAGGGCCCTGCTCAATGAGCTTACATTCTAGAGGGAGTGGGATATACACAAAGGGTAAAAGTAGGGGTACAAAGTAGGTTGTTTGAAAAGTATTCACTGAGGGCTTAGTAGGTAATTTTTGACAGTTGCAGGAGAGGAGTCATGGGGGGTGGGGGATAAAAACCGGGTAACCGTTTAATTGATATGCTTTCTTGAAGAAGTGAGTTTTCAATGATTTTTTTGAAGGAGTGGAGACTTGGTGAAATTCTTACGGAGAAGGGAAGGGAGTTCCACAGAAGAGGTGCAGCCCTAGAAAAGTCTTGAAGGCGAGCGTTAGAGGTGGTAAAATATTCTAAATCCCAGTGTCTGCATATAGCACATATGTTTATAAGCACCCTGTAGCAGACTCTATTCCCTTGTGTTCGGTTCTCCGTACCCCCTTGTTCGTCTCCCGAATGACTGGTGTGTGGTCCCCTTGTTATGCCCCAGCGAACACTGACCTCCCCTGGATCAGCTGGATGGCCAAATACCTGTGCGTCATTTACCTAAGGAAGAGATGACAGCTGGAAGCACTATGGAAAGATAGCAACCTGGTAGTGTTATGCTCTGGACCAAGCATGTCAAACTCAAAGGCTAACATGGGCCAAATAAACAAGGTTTAAGTTTATGTGGACCACAAAGAAACTAAAAACTTCAGTTTTCATAGAAACAAAGATATATTTCGAAAAGTACATTCTAAAAAAAAACTATTTACACTGGATGTCCTCATGTCGTAGGGCTTCAAAATAAACAAAAGAGCAAATTTATTTTAAGGAGACGTGCATTTGCATTTAACCAATGTTTCAGTCCAACTACCTTGACATATTAAGAAAAGTTTGGAAATGGGACTGAAATGGTAAATGTATGCTGTTGCACAGCTGTAAAAAACAAATGTTATCTTGTTGATTTTGAAGTCCTGTAAGTATGTTCTTCACTTTGGCTGAGATCATCAAACTTGATGATCCCAGCCAATCCAATGCTTTAGGAGGCTATTGTGCATGTGTAACAAAAAGCTGCACGGCCAATCAGCACCTCCATGCAGACCCAATCTAATACACTTCCCACAAATCCAATACACTGTCCCCCTCCACTCAATCTAATACAATGCTGCTCCTCCCACTCTAATTAAACACAATGCCCCACACCCTCCCCCAATTTAATCCACTGGCACCCTCCCTCAAATTATAACATTGCCCACCCTCCCCAATTTAACACACTACACAGGAATGTCTCCCAAGTCCCTCTTTCCCTACCATAAGATGAGCCGCCAGTCCTCCAGTTCAAGCTTTGCTCTTCTCAAGCAAGCCAGACGCTCCTGTGGCACTGCGAGCAGGTGAGAAGGAGCAGTGGCTGGTCTGCTCAGCAGACAGGTAGCCACTCTGCCCTCTTGTGGCTGTGGGAGGGAAAGCAAGAATCAGACAGGAAATCTTTTCTGTCTTCCAGCTGGTCGCAGTCACAGTACAAAGCAGCGCCAGGGCAGACGGGCCGCAAGTTTGACATGCTTGCTCTGGACAATGTTCTGCTTGGGTCCTGGGCATTCAAGTAGATGTTCCGTTGCCAAGGAACCAGGGAGGTATTAGCCGTGAGGCAAACAAGGCATTTGCCTTGTGCAGCATTTTCCAGGGAGCGGCAAAAAAAGTTGCCCCCAAACGCCCAGGGCAAATGTTTTGTTAGCCTCACGTCTAACTAAAAATCTGGTTGGGCAGGGCTGGCGAGGGAGCACTTTCCCCTGAGCGCTCTGCTCAGCTCCCTCGCGCACCGCAGTGTGATGCCGGGAGCCGGAATATGACATCATATCATGACATCTAATCAGTGCTCCCTCGCCAGCGCATCCCAGCAGCCACCGGACCCCAGGGAAAAAGGAGAACCCCCCCAGCATTTCCAAGGTAAGGGGTTGAATATAAAAAAAAAAAGGTGCCTGAGAAGGCATGCCTAGGGCAGCACAAAACCAGGATACACCACTGCACGGAACACCTACCTATAGACTGTTGCAGACCATGGACACCCTTTCATGGCAATGGTGACAGTCTAAGCAACATAAGTTGCTAAGTTGGACCCGATTTAATATTTCTGGGTAAACTTTTAAAAGGATTTTTCCAAAATATTATACAATTTAAAAAAAAAAAAGTATCTAAAAATATGACAGACATTATTATGAGTTTTTGATTCAGTGGTGCTTGTGTTTTTTCTTCTGTGTAACATATGTGTCCTGTTGTGCACGCACGCACGCACGCACAAGTATTTATGGAAACAAAAAAAAAGTTCACTTCTGTTGTTGATTGAGTTTGCCAGCATGTTAGGCATGTGCACTGCTGTTGAATTGTTTTAATTGTTGCCCTACTGGCTTTTAATTTAACGGCGTATTACTAGAATACATTTATGTTTTTCAAATTGGTGATGGTCTTCCTGATTTCACTACTGCTGTTTCCATGCATTGCCTAGTACACCTGGCAGGGCCGATCCTAGGGTCACTGATGCTTCAGTGCCATCTTTTTGCCCAATACCGCTTCCTAGTGCCATCTTTGTCCCAAAATAGCTCATCAGTTCCATCTTTGTCTCAAAATAGCTTACCAGTGCCACCTTTGTGTCCATAGCATATCAGTGCCAGGGGCAGGTCCAGAACCTAATCTCAGATGTGACACTGGTAGTAAGCTATAATTGAGTTTAGGCCTGTATTAGGGGGCTAGGGACTGAAGTGCCAGTCAATTTGGGCTGCAATTGAGGGCTAGATGGGCTGTAGTGAAGAGGGTAGAGACTGTAGTAAGGAAATATATGCTGTAGTGGGGTGTATGGGATTTAAGAGAGATTAGGGGCTGTAGTATGGGCCAAGGATTGCAAAGGACAGAGGCTGTAGTAGAGGAGTTAGTGGCTGTATTAGGGAGATGTTAACTGAAATTGGCTATAATGAGGTGATAGCGGCAACATTTGGGGGGTAGGGAGTGTAGTTTGGGACAGGGGCTTCAGTGGAGGTAAGGAATTGTAGTGAGGAGTTGGAGGCTGTAGTAGGGATAAAGGCTGTTTACGTATAAGGGCGCTATAGTGGGGTATTAGGAGCTGCAGTTGGGGGACAAAGTACTTTTTTTTGGTACGGACGGCATTTGGAGTAAAGGGGTTGGGAGTTGTAGTGGGGCTAAAGAAAAAAGCACTAATATTCCTTCCTTCCTTCCTTAATGAGGCTTACCTTGGGCCATGGTGGTCTGGTGTAAAATGTGAGGTTTTGTCCTCCCCTGTTTAAAGCTAACTTTGTCCACGGAGGCGAGTGCATGTGGGTGGGGCCTAATAAGAGTGGACGGAACTTACTGACACGATGTAACTCTACCCACAGAGCACATGGTTGCTGTGCACCCACCCAGGATAGGCCCTGACCAAGATAATTGATTCTGCCCCTCCTCCTCTCTATGCTGGTTGAAAACTGAAAAAGACAGAGCAGATAATGACTAACAGGGAACAAAGATGGAGGACCACAGCTGCAAAACAGAGAACACAAAATTGTGGATTTGATTAGATCTTTTGGACCACACAACAATTTGTTAAAGAGATTTGTCAACATAAAAATACGTGGAAGTGACTACACCCTTTAACAGCACATTGTAACATATTACTGTATGCATGAGGTGCATTGCTCATAAGAGGAAAATGGTGTATTTTAAAATATATATTTTTAAAAAGACCAACTGTAATTTGTTTACTCGTAGAAGGTTATAAACAAATTCACAAAGCAAAACTGTTAGAATATATATATTTTTTTTAATTTTTATAAATAACTTATCTGTTACAAAGACTGTTTACCCAGCTAAATCACAAAACCATAAACTCATGATATCCAAATTAGGTTTTATTAATAAAACAAGTAAAAATTGATTTGTCAATCTTCACAGAAAACTGCAGATGAAGCTGAAAAAAAATGTCTTTTTAACAAAAAGTATTGCTTGTTAAGTGCTTTGGGTCTGCTGCTGAACCCCATTACAGTGCTGGAAAGGCCTTAAAACATCACACGCCTCTCTCTGTAACACTTGACGGGTTAGTTACCTGGGATAATATCCTGCAACACAAAAAATGAGAAGCCTTCAGAAGAAAGGCTTTTCACATTTATTTAGATCATTGGTAAAAAAAAAAAAAAAAAAAAAAAAATCAAGAAACCAATGATTAAATTCATGTAATCATTTACAGTGGATGACACTTGATTAGTTTCTTTGGTTTATTTTTCCCTTGCAATTAATTGGACATTAAGAAAAATACTTTGTTTATAGTTTCTACCCTAACTGACCTTCATTTGAAAACTAAAGCAGCATATACTTGGACTTTGTATATCATTAATTAAAACAAATGATGAGAAGTTTAACAAAAAACCACAGACTATAGAAATGTGTGTTACATGTTTAAGGTTTACCAGAAATGTAGCTCACACCAAGCCACAAAGCCTAAACATGTGACTGAAATGCACATAACAGACTGCTTAGTCTGTTATAATTTAATATATAAATTGTATATCCAGTTACTCCTGGAATACAACCTGCATTTAATGAGCTTGAGAATGTTCAAACACATGAACAATTTCATACTGGAGACATGGAAGGAATTATCAACTTCAAATGTAACTTCCATTGTTTTTACATAAATTTTAATAACCACCTTGTAGCACATTTCTAAAGAGCTTTTGTTTTTAGATATATGTATCAGATATTAAAGGAAGAAAATGTATGGAAAGGTCATTCCTCCTGCTTGCTGAAACTTTCACAAATTGGAAGAATACATAGTGTACATTCTGAGGCTGTGTCACCCACTGTAAGATTCAATATGTACATAAACATAATCTGTGTACCCTTAAACATTTAGCCTATATTTTTTTTCTACAGGTCTTCACAGGTCATTAACATTTACAAGACCAATAGGCTGTGATGTAGAGAGATAAATGTGCATAGTTTCATATCGTTAATGCTTTACTCCCTCCCACACCAATTAAGGCACCAATTCTTTGACAAACGCTTACAAGGGGAGGGCAATGACTGAGCTAAAATCATTTTTTCAAATAAGGAAAAAAGTTAACAAAACCCTATTACACTATACATATAGAATTACAGGGGATAACAGTGAAACTGAAGAGAAAAAAAAAAATCACTTAAAGCAGGCTTTTGAGCTATGTACAACTGAAAAATCTGTTGGTATTTTCACTGTATCATACAGACAATGCATGCAGTTTTTCCATTTCTTTGTTGGACTTGACTTTATAAAAGCTGGCTTCACAAGTCAAGGGAGGTTCCTGGGCGCTGAAGACACTGAACTGTAAGTCCTTCCTCAGTCCTGTGGCAGCAACGCGTAACAGCAAGCTGCAATTCCTCCGTGTTCGTAGTGTGTTTGTGGTTAGTTTGCTTTTTAGACTGAGGGAAAATAAAATAAATCTTTAATCCATTGCTCTGCTCTTCTGCTGAAGGACCAGAACACATCAGTACATTTGTTATGCTGTTTGGAAGAAAGGACCCAGAACACTGCACACAAGACGATGGATTCTTTTTGGCCGGTTAGTAATACTGTACATGGTACAGGCAGCTGGGAACCAAGTATATCAGCACATCACTGATCAGATGATTTTAAAGAAAAACAAAAACAAAACATCCCAACTGCGCACATTACAACACTGAGGTATTAATCTCTGTGGGCTGATGTTTTACATTTAAAAAAAAAAAAAAATTACACCGAATGGCCACACCTTCAGATTTATGTATTCGTATTATCCAGAAATGGTCTATTTCTTTTAATTCCCAAATTAAACGCATGTAAGGACCTACTGGCTCAGTAATGCCTGGGCATGTCGCACTGTTCACAACGGTTTAAGGCAGGGTGGTTTAGAAAAGTACATGCAGTGCAATTCCACTGTGCCCCCTCATCTTCTTCTGTATCTGGCACATTCTTCTGTGTTTTAATGATGGACCTTTGATCTGCAAATAAGAAAATGCATGAGAAAGGGAAATAAAGACATAACATTATTTAGTTTTAAACATTACTGAATCACTTTTTGTCAAAAAATACACAAAACATGCTAACCTGTCTATAGCTGCATATTGAAAAGCTTAAAAAACAACCACTTCACAGAAATTTGAAGCATGAAGATAAATGCATTGTAAGAAGTCATTTTACGAAATTCAGACAAATACAATAATAAAAAAATAAAATTATATGCGCACACTACATATATATAAATATATAAATAAATAAATACTGTTGTTCATTACCTGCATATCTCAAAGTCTACCCTGGCCACAGAAATTCCATAAATCCACGTTTTCACAACTATTTTAAAATTCCCAGCTGGACATGCAAATGAGCAAACATAGGTATTGTGTTTCAGACTTTACCCTGTATTTATGCAGGTACAAATTTAAAATATGCAGGTGATGCACAATTATTTTTTTTATCAGTATCATTTGTGGTGTTTTATCATGTTTATGACCTCTGAAAAAGACACAAAACTGGATGAAGTAATTTTGAGAAATTTACAACAGGGGTGATAATGTTGGTGCCATTTGTTACTTTTTATGACCCAAGCTGCCAGATGGAGATTGAGAAACACAAAACGTGTAAAATAAATTGTAAATTCGACAAAGGGTCATATACTGTACTTAAAATTTGGGCAGTGTTTGTAGATGCCTTTTTATTTTTGGGGCAATATATATATATTCACAATGTATATCATATTTGGTCTCAATTTGCTTGGATTCACCAAGATGATCTGGCCTGTTAAAGAGAATAGGAGTATTTGTACATAATTATATCGCATTGTACATTTTTTTTTACAAGTTTGGACAGCATTAATTGGAAAATTGCTTGGAAAACTGGTTCATAATAAATGTCTCTTTATTAAGTTCTGCATTTGGTACAATAATAACATTAACAAAGCTACTTGTACAACAATTCTGTGGTTTCATAGAAATTTTTGCTAAATTGTATTTTTTTTCCCAAATCAAATTTGTTTGGGGTAAACCTAGGATTTTCCCTTTTTTAAAATGTTATGGTGGTTGCAGCTTGTACGGTAAATTAAGTGATTTTTAATCCTTTCGCCCTCTGATGCAAATCCCTTTCTAGCCTGGAGTAGACTTGTTTGTCAATGTCAGTCTTAGTTCGGATTCTTTCTATTAACATTACCTTACTACAAAGATGGCTTTGCATTACCTTTGACCATGACCCTCTTTTGGCTACACATATCCAGTCTGTAAATACTGGCAATTTAAGAATGAATACCTCCCAAAACATGTGTTTTTTTTTCTTTTAACACAGGATGTACCCAAAACAGTTTTTTTTTTTTTTTTTTAAACACATTTGTTTTCTTTCCACATTCCTATAATCAACATTTCACGACTTTTGCATGCTCCTATTGTCTGAATGAACACTGCTGAAAGTCTGGTACTTGAATCACTACTACACACATTATAACCTACAGCTTTTTTGGGTCAATCCTTACACATGGTCAGCTTTAAAATCAACATTTTTACAAATCACCAAGCCTTTACTTCAAATTATAAATCTTCATTTAAAAATACACATCTTCTTAGTTAGTCTGCCTGGTCCATGACACGTTTCCCCCATTTGTATCTGCAACTAACTCACAAGTTTAAAAATCGTTCAAAAATTAATTTAGGAAAAGAAACTTCCAATGTTAAATCACCCTGCATTAATCTAACCTTGGCTTCACCTCATAACTTTGGACAGAGTTACTATATCTGATCTCCTTATACATTCGGTCATTTATATATATTGCACTTTCATGCTTTCTATAGTTGCACTTTAATTTATCTTGACTAAAGTTAAACAAGGCCTAATTTTTTAGTTGTTATTCATGTCAAGAATTTTTTCTTATGACATTTCTATACCTATTATACAATATCATAAAATATGTCGGTACTAAAAAAAAAAAAATATATATTAAATAAAATGGGTAAACAAAATTTTGGAGGACAAAATTATTTATGGATTATTACTAGTTCTCCTAATACACAGACATACAGACTATATATGTCATGAGCAGGACTGAAGACAAATTGCTACATTATCCACTTGAAATAAACAAATACAGTAAGTGAAGTACATTTTTGTGAACCTTATTTCTAAAAATAAAAGTACAATAACAGGGAAGCTGCAAAAAAAAAAAAAAAAACTACTTGGCTACAAATTTCACTTTCTGAGCCAATGCTCTTCCATGAGGTACTAATGGAAAATAGTATATCAAGTATCTGGGTTTTGTGCTGTGCTCTGCTGAAGGCTTTAGAAACAGCGGAGAGCTTACAACTAATGTGCGAACATTTTGGGGGCGAAGAGGGAGAGGAGCCACAATACACTTTATAGTGGTAACAAGAATTCAAAGCAGGAATTTTTGTCCAGATTTTTCTGCTTTCTCTACAGGTGCAACTAAGTAGCACAGAGTTTGCAAAAGTCTACATTCAGTTAACCCAGTGGTTCCCAAACGTTTTAGGTTCAAGGCACCCTTAATATTTTTTTCCAAGGCAAACTTTCTAGGTTGTATATCTGTACAGTGCTGCGGTATTTACTGACGCTATAGTGTAATATACAGTTTTGCCATTTAAATGGGTGCTTGCAGGGCCGCCCGTCCTGGTGGGACTATGGCTCCAGGGGGCACTTTGACAGGGGCGGCCATTTGCCGCCCCTGTCATAATCTACCAGGATAATTACCATTGGGGGAAAGATCATCACTCTGATCGGCCCCTCCGCCGGGGTGGGCTATGAGGCCGCCCAAAATTCTAACAAGTCAGTGGCATCATGAGAGGGAGGTTGAGCTGTGGTTGCTGGGCTCTCAGGATTATGCTCACTGAAGTTCTGGCGCTTTAACACCTCTTGCTGTGCTGTTAGAACTTCAGTGATTTACTTTATACTTTGCGGCAGTGCTGGGGTTGTGGTCATGGGCTGGCTAAGCTATCGACCAGGCCACAGTGTCAGAATGCCCTCCGTATAAGAAAACCTACAGAGCAGCACAGGCGGTCGGCAGTCAGGACTCTCAGGGCAATAAGAGTCACAAGCAAGCCAGCAGCGGTGGAGTCTTAAGGCGCGGAGCTGCAGCCACTAGAAGACAGTTCAGACCCAACTCCAGCCAGAAGAGAGACCACTGCAGAAGCATGTATATGACTGCTTGGATGCGTGCGTTTGTGTCTTACATACATTTATATACACACACACCCACACCCAGACACACACACATAGATGCACAACCAGACACACACACACAGATGCACAACCAGACACACACACACAGATGCACAACCAGACACATGTGTCATTTTTAATATCTCCAGCCACCCTCCTGTTAGCTTACCTTGTGTGTCCAGGTAGGTGGCTTGGAGTCCTGGTCCTGCTGCTGCTGCTGGGAATCAGGAGCAAATATGGAGTGCACCTCTCTCCTCATGCTGCAGCGGTCTCACTGCATGATGCTGGGAGGAAGTGACAGGCTGTCACTTCCTGACAGCCGGTCAATGTTACAGAGGCGGGGTGTTCGAGGACAGCGGCACCCGACCGGGCCCCTGTTCAGCAGTTATGTTTCCCGGTGCTATAATCATAGCACCAGGGAAACATTCTGCTGCGCCCCTGTGTGCCTGTCCCCAGGGCGCAGCAGCACACAGTTTGAGAACCGCTGAGTTAACCTCTAATAATAGTCTAGAAAAGTAAGTAAATAGCTTAGCCTGCAACAACTGAACATAGCATAAAAACAAACATTAAAAGGGTTACTACTAGCATAATAATCTCTACAGCTGTAGTGGTTATTACGCCAAAAGTACCCTTTCCCCATAAAGGGGATGCACAAGTGGGATGTTTATCCCACCTTTTTAAATAAGGCTGCTAAACCATGTGGACAATCGACCTATCTTGAACCTAGGTCATAGCATAATATTAAACAACAATTTGTACATCTGAAGAATAAGCAGTTATGAAATTGTGTTTATAATGATCTATGACCTTTACGTTGCAAAAGATATAGTCCACTATAATTCTCTAATATTGTGGCAAGTATCATAGGTTTTTGACTAGCTTATGCATATTTATTTTTTTAATTAAAAATTAGATTGTCCAACTCTTACTTGGCCACCTAAAAAGGAAGTATAAGGAAAGGCGGTGGCTCAGTGCAAATTCTTTTGATGATGTACAAATAAGCAGGGAAGAGGACGGTGATTGAATAAATTTTTCTAGTTGCCAAAGATATCAGCTTTCTTCAAAAGTCGGTACGGGAACTAAAGTATTTCAACGTGGATATGTATTCAGGATCTACTAAATAGGGCTGCATTAACAGTGATTTTTAAAACTGCATCATTAAGCTAAATTTAAGCAGGGCTTCTACTGCACAAACAAAAATAAAATCTTTTAAGGAAACAATGTAATATTTAGAAAACACATTCTACTTTTTAAATAAGGCAGTCACAATGTTTAGCAATGTCAAAATAATTAGCAGGATCTTGTACTACAAAAGCAAATTGTGGGTGGGGAATGGTGTTTTAAGATCAGGCACCATACTCCCCCATACTCCCTTTATGGAAACCAGACCTCTTGATCCATTGGCCCCACATGAATTATTTTTACAGCTGAAGCTATGAAAAAAATTTATATTTTTTTTAAATCTTTCATTCAGATTTTAGATCAGATCTCTGGAACACAACAATAACAAAGTATTTTATTATGCTGACAGACATTTTAATATTTCATATGAGTAATAGATTAGGAGGTCACCAATGTTCATCATCATCATCGTTATTATGACATGTTCCTACAGCTTTGCATTATGGATATCTATCACAAATACAATACAAAGCATATTATAAAGTGCAAAAATAAATCAAGATGCTGCACTGTACATTCTAACAACTGTATACAATAGTATAGATTATATAATTCAAACTGCTTTTAAAATATCCCATAAAAATAAAGGCGTTAGACGCGGAAATAAACTTTATTTCCAACAGATACTGTACCTTTAGGCTTTGGTGGCACTGGACCTAGAAATCCAATATTATCATAGAAGTTATGTATAGCACTAGGATTAAAATGTGGTCCTGGAACACAAAAACAATAGGTGTTTTAATTGCATTTTGCAGTTATGAACAGTAAACATAAGATTCTAAAAAGAACAGTTACCTACAAAGTTATCAAAATGGAAAATGTGTTCTTTCCACAAAATTGTAAGCTTGCTTGCAGGGCTATTGCTTACTGTGTTTTGTTAGCTTGTTTCCAGTGTTGTTGTACCATTTACTTTTTTTTTCCCCAACTGTCATAATGAAACATTAAAAAAATATGAATGTCTATGAATGAGAATTGTGGAATTGTTCCACTTAGTCAAGACTTCAAGTGCAATGCTTCTCTCAGTGGCTGCTGAGAAGGACTTTGACCGGGTGTATCTATTTGTTGGCTACCCTACAGATCTATGGGTTTGAGGATATTACTGGGAATGGGACTCAGCCGGGATGCCCTCTACTCACATTGCTAATCATGCTATCAATCCCTTGACTCTTAAGATAGGAGAGTCCTGATATCTATCTCTCTCTATATCCATACACAAACACACATATACACATACATACATACATACATATACACATATACACACACACACACACACACATATATGTGTGTTTTGTCAGGGGGTAAAGGAATACAAACTGAGCTTATCTGCAGATGATTATGATCTTGCCCTGACCAACCTCACAATTTCTTTGCCGAATTTGTATTGTATGCAGCATGAGTTTGGGGCCCACTCTGGATTTAAAATTAACTATTCTAAATGTGAAGCACTTAATAAAACCGGTGCATCACTTACAGACTAGCTTTCCTGGGTATATGATAGCACTGTATTACATTTGTAGCTTTCCCTTTAGATGGCAGGCACAAGCCCTCACTTCCTTAGGCACCCACATTACAGCTCAGAGGGAGAATATACTGGGTGACAATTATGTAACACTGAATGCACATCTTCAAAACCTAATTTAGTGGATCCAATATAAGATTTTGGCAGCTACTCTACTTTTGAAAATTACTATTTCCCCAAAATATTGTACATCTCATCACTTACACAGCCGGAAATGGTGGGGCTCCAGGTGGACATGCACTTTCAACTGGGAGAGATCGGGGGCTTCTTGAAGGCACTAAATTGCTTTGCGTTTATGGAGTGTTCCTTTGAAAGTTATTAGTGATTTCTATACAGCAAACTATGGACTAATGTTTTTGGATCTAATTTTCAAATTATTCAAATCTCATAAAAAAAAAAACACTTTCCAAATAATCTATGCAACTCAACAGAAATGTCTGTCTATGGGAATTTTTGTATATAAATTGTTTGGCAAGAGTTAAATCATTTTTAAAAAAACTGCGCTAAAAATACTACAGTCATATTATCTGCTAAATAACTCAGTTCATTAAAACTATTGTAGTTTGTGGTTAATACAAGCTGTATAAGTTAAATATTTTCAGTCCTCCTGGTCTTACCTCTGGCCTGGAACAGATCAATTTCTTTGGTGAGACAATCAATATCAATCTGCAGTTGTCTGTTACAGCTCCTTAACTGTTGCATCTCTTCTAGCTTAAAAAAAGTGGGGAAATATGTTAACTTGCTTGTAGATAAAAAAAAACAAAAAACAAATACAGCCTTGTATTTTTAAATCTTACATTTGCTATATTGTTCAAAATCAAAGATTAAAAAAAAATATATATCTTACAAACCTTGCAAACTTAGCATAATATTATATATATATATATATATATATATATATATATATATATATATATATATTTTTTTTTTTGTAGTCGGGGATAATAAGCCATACATAACACCGTTGGCTATGTATGAGAGTGTGTTGTGGTGTGCCTAAACAGACGATCTGGTAGACCTGAAATAAATGAGGGCAAAAAGATTTAATCGTAACGCTATAATGCTGATATCGATTGCCTGACTCATTCTGTGAAGGCTTCCTGAGTTCTTTCTTAGGTTATGGAATTTACTTTTTGTAAGCAGCTGATTCCCATCTACGTAATTCCTTGATTAAGGAGTGCCGGTACTTACCTGATGGAAGCAACATATGTGGCACCGATCTTAGGGGGATTGACCTATAACGGTCAACGGGACCTAGCCTATAGTCGTAGCCGGGTCGTTATGTAGTCCATGAATATGCCGTAGCGAGTGATTTGTTGTATATATTGTGATTAGGTGTGTTTTGCTTTGTCTCTCTGTGAGAAAGAGACAAAAAAAATTTCAATAAATGCATCCACCATACTGCTGGACTCTACTTTCATGGTTCGGATAGAACTGGACCTCCGATTGGGTGTATATTGTTTATATGTCTGCCACGAGGCGTTGCTAAACGTTTAAATGAGATAGAGCGTTGGCCGCGATATTACCATCTGGGTACATGTGTGTTTACCATACAGAATTATGTGACACCGCCAACTAGATGATTCCCCTAATGAGTGCCCGTGAGGGAGAACACCCTCAATTTATATCTACGCGAGCGACTTGTTATTGGAGATCATGTGATGGTTTGCCTTCCCGTCAGGAACCCCAGGCGTGATCTGCTGCAACTTATGGGTTAAATGTCGGAATAGTGTGACAAGTGATGCAGGCGGCTAGAAGTGTCAGGGAGTCGGTGGGCCATAGGTCACGGAACCACCAATCTTGGCGTAAGGCCGTGAATACTGAATGGCCTGCTTCATCGATTCCCGTAACCAGTGTTACTACGTCCGGTGGGGGGATGAACGTAGAAATCCCTTCGATACATAAGAATCCAACACCATCTCAATGGTCCGTTTGCGTGAGAGCCAATAGAGGCAGTGTCATTCATGTGGAGCCTCTGGTAGGAGGTGAGGTAGTCGCAGTACAAATTGAGCGGCCCAGTGGCATTGCGCGAAATGCAAATGTGAGAGTCAAGTAGTGATTGCAGGTCCTTGCGGGAGCGGTTACTCACGTGTGAGACCCTATCACTCGTCGATGCGTTATACTTTATCGTCAGTTAACCTTGCTAGCCTGGTGGTTGAGTCCAGGAGGATACCTAAAGGTTAGCTGGGTGGAAGGCCCTATTTCTCGCCAGGTAGGGAAGACTCCTGATGAGGCGTATACTGCCACGGTGTCGATGATGTTTTGAAGGGAACTGTTGGGAACCTCGATCTGGAGGAAATCATTGGGGTAGCGTATTGCTACTAGGCTGTGATTCACGTATTTGGAAGTGCTCGCGTAGTGTTTTTGTGGACTTGTCTAATGTTCGGGGCTAATCTTGGCCCCAAATGTCTGACGCCTGATGAGATGGTACATACCTTCATTTTGGAACTCCGTGACTGCCACAGAGATTATGTATAGGCAGCAACGTTCCGGCTTCGAGAATTCTCCCATGCGTGAGTCCGTGGTCGCATATTGGAACTGATGGCCCAGTGAGGTCGTGTGAAGAGGCATTTCCAAAGGACCCGAACTTGTGTTACCCGAATCCTATATTTTGCTGCCAAGGAACGCATCTAAGATACAAAAGCGCTTGCGATTAGACCCAACGATGCGGAGAGAGGGTCGCACGTGGAACTGAGTAGACTCACTGAGGCCTTGGTCGTATGTGAAATCGTGTCTGGGGTGAATCGCCCCCGGAAGACCGTATGGAACGTGGGAAGAGGTGGCCCATGAGGGCCGCGTATAGAGGTATGTCTGAAGGACCTGAGATATTTAGTTGAACAATGTCTCTGGTTTACTATAGGGATATAGGTCAGAGATTCGTTGAGAGTCTGTGACTGGACTCTTAGGTGTGAGTAGAGAGAGGCTCATGGGTGACAGAGAGCCAAATAAAGCAACAGTAGTATGTATAATCGTAACGAGTGAGGGGCCGGAGCGGATTTAACGTGGATTGCCCGTGGAGGGCCGTATGTAACGTAGGAAGTGCCAACCAAGTGAGGGTCGCATACAAGGCTTTCTGGAGGACCTGACGCCTGTTTTTAAAGACGACACTACGTGAACTACAGAGATTCCTTAAACCTGCGACTGAACTTAGAAATGCAGAGAGAGAAGGACGTGCAAAGAATTTAGTGGGTCCAAGGGATCCCTGGATGTATGTGAGCCCGGATGAGGGGCCGTTCTATTGTCGTAGAGAAAAGCCCACCGCGGGCCGTATGTTACGTAGGCAGTGATTACCTATTGAGGGCTGCATATAGAGGTATTCCCGAAGGAGCTGAAGCCAGTATTCGACCCATGTCTTAACTTTAATGTCAGGAAGCAAGATAAGATATGCAAGAATTGCCTGTGACTGTACCCATAATTGTAGTGTGGAGAGGGTTCTACGAGGACTTGAGTGGGTCTAATGATCCCGCTGTAGTATGTTATTGCCCAAGTGAGGGGCCGTAATAGCGTCGTAACGATAGCCCGCGGAGGGCCGTATGTAACGTATGTAGTGATGGCCTGACGAAGCTGCGCATGGTGGTATTACTGAAAGCTAAGTGCCAAAATGTAGAGATTATGCCATGTGTGATTGGCCCTACGAGGATTTGTAAAGTGGGTGTGTTGGATAGCATGTGGAGGTTGTTTGGAACATATGGTGGGAGGTCGTGAGTAATGGTTGCCTGGTTGCCGCAATATAGTAGAGTGGTATGTGATATTCGTGGCTGAAACTGACGTAGGAGTTGACCAGCTGTGTGACGTGCCGTAACAGATTTATATTTTTGTGCGTGGCTCCGGTCAGTTGAGCATCCGAGATTGTGGGAGCCGTAAAAAGGCCTGGGAACAGTATAAGATCCCTGGTATATGTGCTGGACTCTCAGGGGCGGGGGTAGGCAAAATGGAATTGTATGCTGTAATGACGGCCGCCTGTGAGCTGAGGGCAAGCCACTTCGTAAACTAAAACGACTCGCGACAAATTGGTACGTGTAATGATAGGTGACCTGGTTGCCCATGACATAACAATGTAACAGCTTAATGGGGGGGGGGGGATGGACAGACGCACGAAAACAGAGGATTTGGTCCCTCTGCAATGCCCCTGGCGTAATGCTTGGGAGGTAAGGTGGCCGCGTATTGGTAGTACCCGTCTTATTGGATGTATATTAAAATAGAGAGTGGGTTCAGTGTGTTGACTGTATGGATGTGTGGCTCCAGCCGCATACACCGTCCAAGTAAGCAGAATAGTATATGAACATGATGCACCAAGGAGGGGCTGAAGTATGTGTTAGTAGGCTACCATCTGGGTATCGTGTGGATAGTGTAAGTGTGAATACACGATCGAATATTAGGTGAGATATTAATGGGGTCCAGAGATTGCAGAGTAACCAGTTGAGTTGCTCTATAATCACCTAGTGTACTGATTTTCATACTACCCGAATTGCTAACAGTTTGTTAAGACGTATGTAAAGCTATAGCAAAGGAATACAGATATGTGGATAGAGTGACTTTTTACCACGGGAAAACTTGTTGGGTTGTGTGGGTTTACTTCATGGCACAGACGGAGTACCCGAGCAACCGTCTGTATACCCGGTACGTGTGGCTGGCGTTGAAGAGGAGCCGAAGCAGCCCCTCTAGCAGGGGAAATCGCGGACCTCCGTTGTGAGTTTGTGGGAGGTCTGAGCTACGTGCGGCAATTGTATAACCCGCCGTCTGGGACCACGGTAGTCGGGTTAAATCGCCGGTATGCTACAGACGGTGTACCATTGCACACCGTCTGTAGACTCACTGTTTGAGCGGGCAACCGCTGTTTCTTGGCCGGTGTCTAGGCTGCTGCGCTGACTTTTAATTGTCTCTCTAACAAAGTTTTCCTGACCTACACAAAACACTCTGCGCAATTAATATCAAATTAATATCTATTCAGCTTTGCTATGTTCACTATTATGGCATTTTAACACCCCAATAAAAAGGACTGAACCACTGATAAACTGGTGTATGTGAAAGTAAAGCTATCACAAAATTCTAAACTCTGTATGTGTCTGGACAGGTTAGTTGAACCCTGGCTTATCCGAATAAGAACGTTTGTTAGATGCTTCATTGTTACCTTAAAAGGTGGTCATACCATTTTGAAAAGCTCTTTTTAGTAAAGGAGCTATTTAATTGCCAATCTTCAGCAAAAGGTGGAGGTTCCATAACTATTTCAGCCAGTTGTGACTTACTAAGCATATAACTATGGATTATAAAATCCCACAATATTCTCCATTAATTCCCATTTTCAGCTCAAGGCAAATTATGCAGATATTTGTAGAGTTTCTACAAATATCAGGCATTTTTCTCTAACTTTTCTCATTAATCACTGGCTTCTCATGAGATATGTTCAGTTTTGTGTAATTTTGTTTTTAATTTCTGTAACATCTACAGACTGCTGAAGTGAACATTCAAGTTGGTAAGCACCTTTTGCACTAAACCATGTATCCTCTCCACTGTTTCATTGAACAATGAAACCTCTTGACTGGACTTTTTATATTTAGTCACACAAATTTCCACTTGGCTATTTGGATTAAAGAAACACTCCAAGCTCCATAATAGTGGTTATGGTACCAGACATGCCCTACCACTCTCCTGTGTAAGTCTTTAAATCATTTGCAAACTTTTTGCCAACTTACCTGGGGTCACCTGGATAGCTAAAATCTCCCACACAGATGTTTCATTAGCTTCCCTGAATTTTAGCTCTCAACAAGTGAGCTAAAGTGAAGAGAACGTCTGGCACTCCTGGAGCAGGTGACCAATGCTCGACAGACCCTAGGTCAAACCATTTGCAAACTTTTTCACAAGGTCATGGCACTCCTGGCACCATGACCTTGCTGTATTATGGTGCAAGGAATGTTCATATAACAATGCACTGCACCCAGGGATGTCCGACAATCATGCAGATGTAAATGTAAATCATAGTGCAGTGTCTACTGCTTACAAATGCCACTCATCTGACAGCTACTAGAGGAACACTGATAAATGTACACTGTATTTACATTTGTCAGACTGCAGGCAGCAAAACCACTCAATTTGGATTTTGGTTGTTTTAGTCCTTGGAGTGTCCCTTTAAATGACAGTGAAATAGGGCCTTTTCTTTTCTTAAAAATCTGGGGGTTAAGGGTAACTTACTGATGGAATCTGTGAAACAGAATTTGACCTATTTAGACGTCTCCGTGTGAGATTATTTTCCATTTCATTGACTTCCGTTTTAAGTTTGTCCAGCTTCTTCTTTTGCATCTCAAGCTCTCGATGTAGTCGCTCCATTCTTGCCTTCTGATGTACCAATAAAGCTGCAAAATATAGCATCCACATTATATTAGTAATAGCTAAAGAGTAGAGAGCCCAGGAAAACAAACAGAGCAATTAAATTTCCTCTTCCCTTCAGCTGTACCAGTGTCTAACACTGTGCTAGTTTTTCCTTATTACATATAAAGCATTATGTACTGTAATGAAGAAACTTTTTTTTCTATGAGATTAGAGCACTCTTTCAATTAGGCACTAATGAGCCATCAGTTTAACAAACAGATTTTTATAATCAGATCTTACATAACAGATACCCTGTGCCAATATAGTTTAAATTCTCGCAGATCAAGCCTATTCCTGGATGCCTCTAAAAAGAGGCTTTCCAGCAAGAGTCCCAGTGGCTGCACCAGGCATCCAATCACTCTGGCACCATTACCCATTTTCATAGAGCCATGTTGAAGATATGCTAGACTCCCAGTACATGAAGATCCTACCAATACTGAATGGCCTCAAGGTATGATGCTGGTCTGTATAGTTAACAGGTGGTACAGGGGTGAAAGCTAAAAGGCAAGTCAAAATTAGGGAACATCTATAATTTCCCACAACATACTGGGAAGTCTGTTATTTCACCTTACAACTCCCACAAACTTATTTTGCATAAAGTTTGTATAATACAAATCAGGGGGTTTTATCGTAAAACACATACGGCCTGTGAAACTCACCACGAAAATAAAAAGTTTGTGAAAGGTACTGGAAAAAAAACAAAACAATGTTATATCTTGTGTGAAATTTTGGTTAACTGACCACACGGGAATTCTCTGTCTCTTGAATTTCTGAGACAAGGAAACTATACTCATAGAATACAGGAAAACAAGTGTAATTTGCAACAAAAACAAAACAAAAAACAAAGTTGTCACATTCCAAGACTACTAAAAAAAGTGGCAACCAGAAGGCATGAAATCTCTCAGATTTGCACTACATTAGTGGAGAAAAAAAGTTATAGCTCCTGACCAGTGCAAAACTCTGATTTACTGACAAAAACAATTCTTATCAGCTTGATCTCCCTGCTGCTGCGCAGGACTTTGATCACCACTCTTTATTTAACCTGAATTGACAGTGACACTAACTCACTTAAAGAGACTACGTCACACAAACTACCCAATGCCTTGCTTGCCGGGAGTATAGACACAGTTCTTCAGGTTTTATAGTTTTTTACTAATGTTACTCATTTATATATGCTCTCGCAATGCTCAAAATATAGAATGGTCTGAGGATCTAATAACTTCTGGTCACCTACCTGCCCTACCTGTTAGCTGGGACATGGGCAGTGGGCAAATTATGATTGTAACCTTATCACAACTCACCCTGTTGATGTCCCACCCCTCAACACCAACACCCGTAAATAACCAGGGGCATAAAATTTTATCCAGGAGTACTAATGGCCTTAACATCTCTATTAAAAGAAAAACAATAATTTCCAAGCTCTGGAAACACTCTTCAAGTGGTATTCCTACAGAAGACTCACTGGAAAAAGACCTCCAACTCCAAAAAAGACTAAATACATTTCAGCCCCATATCATTCAAACTCCAGGGGAGTTATCCTGCTTAATAAGCCCAACCATACACAAATTGTAGCCCCAAAAAGGATGTTCATCATCTTAGATGTTACCCTTGAGAGTACTTGCTACACTCTGGCAAACATTAACAACCCTGACCAATACAATAAATTTATTAAATAAATTGCGTAACCTATTGCTTCCCTTTGCAGTCTCCAAACCAGTTATGGATGGTAGGGTAGGCAGATCTGGGTCTGCTCTGTTGTCCAACACTAAGGAGGATCAGGACTTCTCCACTTCCAGAGGAGCCTCTACCTAATGGACATCTGGAGGATACGGAACATGGAGGTCGGGAACTATACACAAACATACCGAGCTCATTGACACCTTATCCAGGATAGATTTCTTTTTGGTCTCACTCGAGTTGGTTCCAAAGGTAGTACAAGTCAGAATACAATTCTGATTTCAAATCACGCACCCATTGATTTAGTCTTAAACAGAGATCCTACCCTCCCTTTCACTCCACAGTGGAGGTTTCTGAATACCTAACCACACTATTATATTAGTAATATGTTGGTAGAAGTCTGGGCCAATCTAGTAGATGATAACTTGGACAGTGTGGACGGTCCAACGTTATTCTGGCAAACTTCAAAGGCAGTAATATGAGGCCAAATAATAGCATATGTCTCCAATTACAAAAAGCAATGGAACCAAAAATATACTTTACGCAATACTGATCTAGCAAATTTACCATACATGGCTGCACCAACTGACATAAAAAAAACAAAAAACAACAATCTGACAAGACACGCATTACTGACTCTAAAGAGAAACGCTGTTTTCTACGTCCATTTCTCGAATATTTTTACCTTGCTGCTGGGCGATGCAGGGTTAGGAACGGAACTAATTAAGGGGAAACCCACAGAGATTGACAATTGAGCAAAGATAGGTCTTAATGCCCCAATCAGGATGGAGGTGGCGGTGTGGGTTATAAAATCAGGAATGGCTCTGGGGCCCGATGGGTTCTCCATCGATTGTTATAACATTTTTAAAGGGCACATCATTAGTACGTTAACATCTTTATTTAATGCAGTCTACATAGATAAAAAAAAAAAAAAAAAATACAACCCCTGACACCATCTAGAACAATTCAGTGCAAGATCTCCTACAGGCTTATCACACGGTTAAATAATTTCAAACTGCTCACTAATATACAAGCTAATAGATTTCAATTTCTCCCCTCAATCTTGCACCTCCAGCAGTCGGGATTTACCAGAGGCAGGCAGTCGATCCAAGGTATTAGAACAGCAATTGCTGCAGCCTCATTATAGGATAAGAAATAAGCTGTACTATTGAGTTATAAGCACAGAGCTTTTGACCAAGTATTTTGGCCGCACCTTTTGAGGATTTTAAAGTAATGTTTCTTTGGAATTTTATTTCTCAACAATCCACAAAAAACAATAACGGCCAGGACTCAAAGGAACTCAATCATGTGAGGAGTGAAGCAGGGATTCCTGTTATCACCTATCATTTTTAATTTAGCAATAGAGCCACCTATAAGATTTATCCACTTCAGAAAGTATTGGAGGAATCCAACTAGGCCCCCACACTACACAACTTGCAGGCATTGCAGACATTTTACTTTATCTCTCAAACCTGTCACATCCCTTCCGAACACAACTCTTTTCGATAGACAGATTGCTGGCTTTCAACCTTATTGATCAAAGTTGATGGCACTGAGATTAGGTCTGGGTCCTCCAATGCACCTAGGGTCACCAACCACTTTATCATGGACAACTTTAAACACATCAAATATTTTAGTCCACATCCACCCTAAAATATCTACCATATATCAAATATAAAATCAAACCACTTATTACTGTGGTAAAGGATAATTTGAGCAGGTAAAAACCATCTCCTTTATCTCTCTCTGGCAGAAGCACTATTTTAAAATCTGTTATAGTGACCAAACTCCTCTACTTTTTATAGGCCTTGCCTATATTACTCTCCCATTCAGATGAGAAACTCCTAAGCCATTTTCTTTCCAAATTTATTTTGAAACAAAAAAAGGCAAGAATAGCAATGCATACATTTTTCCAACCTAGATTTAACCTGGATTTAAATATACCAAACCTAAAACTATTTTTTAGCAGAACACTACAGACATGCCTTAGATTCGATATGAGGTTCGGGACAATTCACAGCTATAAATATAGAAGAGCAGTTGAGTCCTGGAGTGGCTTTAACTTGCATCACCCCCATAAGTCTCTCTTCCAGATGAGGGATGGGATTTATCCACTATTCGCATCAACCAAACATGGAGTCTAGTGAGAAAGATTATGGGACTCCATCACATATTCTATAAGCTCACTTTACACTCAAATTCAACCTACCCTAGACTACACAGTTACACAATTTGGTATATCAAGGACAACATATTTTCCAACACTAACCCAAGGAACTCTAATAAGTACAACTCTCAAACATCAGAACACCATGTTCTCGTCTCAAAAGCAATTTCTGCTAAAACAAGGGGACTCAGCCACCTGTCTAAAGTGTGGGATGGACGGAGCAGATCTTTATCAACGTTCCTAGGGATGTGTAAAAAATTTAACGTTCTGGATACAAGTAGTAAAATACATATACAGGCAAATCTTTTCACATCTCTCCAACACTGGCAGTATTGGGGGGTGGAGATAGAGAATTCATGCCGGGTTTCTAAACTGACCCACATGATCCTAGCTGCAGCACAGAATAGCATGTTATGCCAATTAATTTGCCTCTCCCCCATTAAAATATCTTTACTAACCACAAAGCTGTCCTTCCTATTCCACATGGACTGGATAGAAGCCTGCTCAATAAAAGCACTCCAATGAAAAAATAATTATCTGGCAACCATATATTAATTCAATGGAGAATTCCACTAAGTTGAAAGTTTAAGCTAGTTTCGAATTCAAAGACTGAAATCTAACCAGGGTCATAGCGGGCCAACCCCCATAGCAATATGATTCAAGCATATTTCTTACATGATTACAAGTTGATCCAGCACACAGTACTGTGTCACACCTAGGACTAAGGATAACGTATAACTGGACCTTAGAATGGCCGGACTTAAAGGACCACTATAGGCACCCAGACCACTTCTGGTCTGGGTGCCAGGTCCTTCTAGGGTTAACCCTTTTTTTTATTCTCTGAAACTGCTATGTTTATATTAGGGTTAATCCAGCCTCTAGTGGCTGTCCCTTGACAGCCGCTAGAGACGCTTGCGTGCTTCTCACTGTGAAAATCACAGTGAGAAGACGCCAGCGTCCATAGGAAAGCATTGTGAATGCTTTCCTATGGACTGGCTGAATGCGCGTGCGCATTCAGCCGAAGAGGAGGAGAGCAGCTCCCCGCCCGGTGCTGGAGAAAGAGGTAAGTTTAACCCCTTCCTCTCCCCAGAGCCCGGCGGGAGGAGGTCGCTGAGGATGGGGGCACACTCAGGGCACTATGGTGCCAGGAAAACTAGTATGTTTTCCTGGCACTATAGTGGTCCTTTAACGTCTCCAAGAATAGGCAAAATACTAGCAGAGGTCAGGGACATGGAATCAGACACAAAGATGAGGGAAAGCCAAAACCCAAGGATACCAGATATCAGGGAAGTCAAAACAAAGCCAAAGTCAAATACCAAAAATCAAGATCAGGAACACACTCTCTGATAACCATAGGCATGAAACCACGACAGGGCACTGAGCAAGAGGAGAACTGGGCCTAAATACCACTCCTGTGGATCCGATTGGCTGTAACCGGCCTTTGACCCCAAAGGCAATTACCAGGTTTCCTTTTGCATGATTGCTGCTCAGCACAAACCCTCCTGTGGATTTGATTGCTGCCCAGCACAACTTTTCCTGTCAGGACAGTAATGTTGCTTGGCACAACATTTCCTGTCAGGACAGTAAATGCCATTAACCACATTTTTATGTGCGGATGAATACGTGACACCACACTGGCCTGATATTAACAGGGAAAAGAGAGTATATATCGTTAGACTGCTTTGCTTTTTGCCCTTTATTATTTTGTCTATTTTGCTTGGATTTTGTTTTTGATTCCATAAAAATTATCATGACACATGCATATCAATTTACAAGTTTTACTATACCACTTTTCAAATCACTGACAATAAAGATCTTGCTTGTCACTCTATATTGCCAATAAGAGTTTAAAACCAAACTGAAATACTCAATATGCCACAATTGACACGGCCTAGATTACTTGTTTTTGTTCTAGGCAAAAATCAAATGTGGATTCAGAGACAGAACCATCCCTATTTTAACTTTATAACATTGCCAGGAACTGGCAAACTACAATTGTGATGTATTCCTGTCTTTAGAAGATTTAGTGGATGATCAAATCCGATTAGTGTGTATGACAGACTTGACAGAGAATAGTGATAAAATGGTTGTCATGCATAGTGGGCATGATTTTGTCCAACCTTTACAAGGGTTTCTCTCTTTTAGTTTCCAAGATAATTATAATTTTTGAAACCCTAGAGGCTGATTTCGAATTGATGGTAAAGGCCCAATTACTAACCTGGTCATCTAGCACATTTAGCAATGTGTTGGATTGATCATTTGGTCTGCGGGTGTTTGTGAACCCACATTTACCACACTATAAAAAGACAGGATAATGAAACTAGAGCGTGGTCTTAATAAAAGTGTTTTGATACATGTAACATGTTGATTGTTGACTGTGTTAGTCGCATTTGTGAAGGAACCTGTCAGTGTATAGAGTGTGTATCTTTTAAGAATAATTTTTTTTTTTTTTAACTTGCAAGAAACAAACAGTGCTTAATCACCATGCCAACTTCCATTCCACCCCCCCCCCCCAACTGATGAACTCAGGAAATATAAAATAAATGTATGTGTGATATTCAAATAAGAGATCCCCATTTTTATCAAAGGTTAACCTGAGTTGCCAGTGTCTTCTCTTTGGCATCCAGAGTCAACACGATTTCACATGTTTTGTGTTTAGCATTTATGGTTCTGGCAGGAAAGAAAGCCCCTTTAATCAGAAAAGCATTTCTGTTGTGGAGTGACCATTATAGAGAATCCTTGCTGTTACTGCAGCGAGAACTCTGTAATAAACATTTCGGGGCCCTAATATAGAATAGTCAAATCCTTTATGTCAAAGAGTTGACTGCACATGGTAATCTAAATCAACCAGGCATCATAAACTGGCAATGGAGGTGACTTTGTTAGAAAAAGTAAAAAAAAAGAAGAAACCCAAAGCCCAGATCAAACTGAACTCCTCTTGAGCTTTAATCAATCAACATTGGACCAGACTTATCTAGGAGCTCCCCTAGACCTACTGCAAGATTCCTAGTGCGATTTCCACTCATGTATATTCTGTGTTTGGTTTAAGTCCCACTGGCAATGATTTTTTGAATATATTTATTTTTGGTCCTTTTGGCACTCTGTAACATGTCTTATTAAAATGTTACTTTAATTCGGTCTTTGGTGGGTAATTAAAGGTGCCCATTTATAATGTCCTTGGTGGTGGCAGCTTTTGATGGTAGAGTTCACCCTGTCACATCAGAACCAAGTGTGGTAGTGTGCGATGTGGCAAGTTACATGAAACATGAATTCCATGGGTTGTCACAGTTTGATTAGGTGACCACTATTAAAGGGACACTATAGTCACCTGAACAACTTTAGCTTAATGAAGCAGTTTTGGTGTATAGAACATGCCCCTGCAGCCTCACTGCTCAATCTTCTGCCATTTAGGAGTTAAATCCCTTTGTTTATGAACCCTAGTCACACCTCCCTGCATGTGACTTGCACAGCCTTCCATAAACACTTCCTGTAAAGAGAGCCCTATTTAAGCTTTCTTTATTGCAAGTTCTGTTTAATAAAGATTTTCTTATCCCCTGCTATGTTAACAGCTTGCTAGACCCTGCAAGAGCCTCCTGTATGTGATTAAAGGACCCCTATAGTGCCAGGAAAACATACTCGTTTTCCTGGCACTATAGTGCTCCTGAGGGTGCCCCCACCCTCAGGGTCCCCCTCCCGCCCGGCTGTGGGGAGAGGAAAGGGGTAAAAACGTACCTTTTTCCAGCGCTGGGCGGGGAGCTCTCCTCCTCCGTTCCTCCCATTTCGGCTGAATGCGCACGAGCGGCAACAGCTGTGCGCGCATTCAGCCGGTCGCATAGGAAAGCATTTACAATGCTTTCCTATGGACGCTTGCATGCTCTCACTGTGATTTTCACAGTGAGAATCACGCAAGCGCCTCTAGCGGCTGTCAATGAGACAGCCGCTAGAGGAATTGGAGGAAGGATTAACCCATTTGTAAACATAGAAGTTTCTCTGAAACTGCTATGTTTATAAAAAAAATGGCTTAATCCTAGCTGGACTTGGCACCCAGACCACTTCATTAAGCTGAAGTGGTCTGGGTGCCTAGAGTGGTCCTTTAAAGTTCAATTTAGAGATTGAGATACAATTATTTAAGGTAAATTACATCTGTTTGAAAGTGAAACCAGTTTTTTTTTCATGCAGGCTCTATCAATCATAGCCAGGGGAAGTGTGGCAAGGGCTGCATAAACAGAAACAAAGTCATTTAACTCCTAAATGACAGTGAATTGAGCAGTGAAATTGCAGGGGAATGATCTATACACTAAAACTGCTTTATTTAGCTGAAGTAATTTAGGTGACTATAGTGTTCCTTTAAACATAATGCATACGAAAACAATTTTGCAAACCAATAGCTTGAAAAGAGTATTGAAAGGGAGTATTGTACTATATGACCTGTAACTGATATATGCTAAATATTTAAATGCATAACCAGGCTTTAAAGGGCATGCTGACCAAATAGAAAGGAAAAAACTGTTTAGTAGATCTACCCTGAATAAAATAAATAAATAAAAAAAAACCCACATCTAATTATGCAAATCTTCAGTGGGGTATATCTAAAAATCAGCTTGCACATTGCAGCTTAGAAAAATCTTTGCAAGGCAGATACGCTGAACAACTGCTAACTCTCACAGAACTAAACAAACCGGAAGTAACAAAACCAGTTGCCTGACATCCCAGGTGAGGGGGTAATAAGGTTAATTTTACAAGTGTGCATTTATATTGAAATCTGCACCTTTTTATATATATTTTTTATTTTTAAAAGCACCTCAAAGTTTAAATGTTCAGCATGCACATTACACTTACTAAGGTAGCCCCTAATATAAACAAACATTTAGGAATGAGAATTGAACACTTCCAATATTAAAATAACAATAAAAGTTACATGTTTTTGGTACAAAGTTTTCCTGTCACTTACCCATTTCCAGCGCTAATGTTCCCTGGCGCTGGCTCAAGCTCAGCCTCCGATCCTTAGTGCGGACCTAATGTGCATGGGCAGGATTCGCATTAGGACTTTCACTATAGGAAAGCATTATATAATGCTTTCCTATTGGATTTTGGGTGATGCTGGATGTCCTAATGGATAACGTAAAGATGCCCAGCGTCAGTTAGGTGACAAAGTCACCTAACCACCCGATACAATTCTACTTTTGTCTACCAGCCACTAGAGGGGGAGTTAACACTCAAAGTCAATTATTGCAATTTCTAAGAAACTGCTGTAATTACCGTATTTTTCGCTCCATAAGACGCAATTTTTTCCCCCTCAAAAGTGAGGGGAAATGTCTGTGCGTCTTATGGAGCGAATGTGAAGATTTACTTACCTGTCTTGGAGCGTGGGCCGGCTTCACAGCGCGCTCCGCGGTCCAGGAACTTCTATTTCAGGTTCCAGTTTCCGGCGGGACTAAAAGGAAGTGCACACTCAGTGTGCACACTTCCTTTCAGTCCCGCCGGAAACCGGAACCTGAAATAGAAGTTCCTGGACCGCGGAGCGCGCTGTGAAGCCGGCCCACGCTCCAAGACAGGTAAGTAATTATGGGACAAGGGGAGGGGGAGACACTATGGGACAAGGGGAGGGGAGGAGACACTATGGGACAAGGGAGGGGGACACTATGGGGAGGGAGACACTATGGGACAAGGGGAGGGGGAGACACTATGGGACAAGGGGAGGGGGAGACACTATGGGACAAGGGGAGGGGGAGACACTATGGGACAAGGGGAGGGGGAGACACTATGGGACAAGGGGAGGGGGAGACACTATGGGACAAGGGCAGGGGGGACACTATGGGACACTATGGGACAAGGGGAGGGGGGACACTATGGGACACTATGGGACAAGGGGAGGGGGGACACTATGGGACAAGGGGAGGGGGAGACACTATGGGACAAGGGCAGGGGGGACACTATGGGAGGGAAAGTGCACTATGGGACAATGGGAGGGGGGACACTATGGGATCAGAACACTAATGGACAAGGGGAGGAGGGGTTAAAGAACACTATGGGACAGGGGAGGAGGGGTTAATAATCACTATGGGACAGAGGAAAGGGGGGTTAAAGATCATTATGGGACAGGGGAGAAAAAAAAATATTCTGAACAAACTGTCCCATAGTAAGAAACACTATGGAACAGTTTGTTCAGAATATTTTTTTTTTCTGGGTTTCCTCCTCTAAAAACTAGGTGCGTCTTATGGTGAGGTGCGTCTTATGGAGCGAAAAATATGGTACCCTTGCATGATTAAGGGACCTGGGACACTGCACCCAGACCACTTACATGAGCTGAAGTGGTCTGGGTGTTTATAGTGTCCCTTTAAGCTCCAAGTTCTAAGAAACAAGAAGATGCAAAATGTTCATATATGTACATGAGCCATGTAATGTGCTCTATAGATAAAGGTTTGTTGTCCAAAAGGCAATGACCATCCTGGACAGAGATATTTAGATTTACATTCGCATCTGTATTAAAAAAAATTGTTGTGTCCAATGATGCAAAGATGGCCGCAATAGTTAAACCAGTGATCACTTCAAAAAAAATTTTAAAATAGTAAAATGAAAAATGGTCAAGCAGCCATATTTAAATTACTTAAGGTGGACTGGTCCTAAGGTTCATTTTGTAAAACCCCTGTTCTCTATAACACAATGAAACATGTTTAATGTCCATAAATGAATGCTCACAATTATAGCAACCCACAAAAAAAAAAAAAAAAAAAAAAGACATGACTCAGGTAAAAGCATCTATTTGCATAGTACTACTATGTCCAATTCAGATCAAAGTGTGTTATACACGCTCATAACATATTGCAAAAGAGAGTGAGTGGACTTTGTTTTGTTTTTTTGAATAAGGGACAAATAACACTGCCTAAGCCCTGCATAATTCATTGAAGTAAAAGAAAGTAATATTAACAGCTCTGCACATGAGGCATTATCCAAGTTTGAGGAAACCAAGCTTCATATTTCTAGCAGATTCCAACTTCAACATGAAAACCACTGTATTCGTATAGCAGCTTATTATCTACACAGAATATGTTCCATTCAAAATGAGACATTAGAAGGGAACATACTGCTCTATAAATCCATACTCACCCAGGAATACATCAACTACTTTTTTTTTTATTTTAAAAACACACTCCCATTCAGAAAATGACTCAATCACTCTCAACGCAGGTTGGCCTGGTGCACCTAATTTCACACAAGCCTTCAGATAGAAAGCACAACAGCCCAGTGTTCATTTTGACAGCAAATTTTCATTTAGTTTTAGTCATAGTCTTTTGACTAAAATGCCATTTAGTTTTAGTTGACTAAATATAATTTTACAGTCAACTAAAATGTAATGCTTCACTTAAGCATTTGTCTAGAATTTTCTAACTCAATAGATGCTGCTGAATGACTAGACATGTCTTGATGCTTGGTTATTTGTCAGCCCCTTCAGTGGAGGAGGATGCAGAGTGTGAATGCAGGCAGGCGGCGAGGGAGCTATAATCTTCCTGCTTTTCTCCCTTGCGTGCCCTGCAGTAATGCCGGTATAGGACATCAGTCGTGCCCTGATAAATACAATGAGATGAAGACACAGCGCCTACAGTGGCCCTTTCAGCATTCTGATCATTTGTTCAGTCTCCAGGGACCATTTTACCACTAAAGGAGCATTAGCTTTAGTATGTCAGTTAATAGATTTCCGATGGTAGCAAAATTGGATACAAAGCTACTGAAATATCCAATGAGACCTAGATGTTTCACCCGTTTCTTACTTACTGTAACATATTCATCCTCACTTTGCGGTATCTGCCCTCAGCGGCCATGCGTCAGTGTACCTGACTCTTGCAAAATGTTAATGGACGCCGGCCGCTGCGGTCCACGCTAAATTATAGTCCTACGTCGGCGTACGTGTGACGTCAGGCGTGCATGTTCTGGGGTCAAAGACCGATTTCGGCCAATCAGATTTGTAAGGGGCTTAAACGCAATTTTACTTCTCCTCATTGTCCTGTCGTGGTTTCCCTCAGTGGTTGTCAGAGTGTGTTCCTGAGTGTTTATTTCTGGTTATTGACTTTGGCTTAGTTTTGACTTTCCTGTATTCTGGTATCCCTGACATTTGGCTTTCCTTAATCGTTGTGTCCCATTCTGTGTCCCTGACCTTGGCTAGTATTCTGACTATTCTTTGTTATGTTAAGTCCGGCCATTCTAAGGCCCAGTAAGGTGTGATATAATTCGACCTCGGCAAGTATTCTGATTATTTTTTGGTACGTTCTAAGGCCCGGTAATACAATTCTACGTGCTAGATCAATTCGTAATCCTGACAGTTACTGATCTTGACCAATTTCTTATGGCTTCTATTTTAGCAACCTAGGACTTCACTAGTACCCTACCAATAGAGTTCCCCATAATATTTGGCTTCCTTTAGGCAAATCATACACTTACTGGGGTTAGCCGTTAGGCCACCGTTTTGTATTGAGTTTAAAAGGACCTGTACTTTTATGAAGGTGAGATTTTCAATCCTCACGGTATATCACATCATCATCCAAGTATGCGGCTTTATGGCTTTAGTATTCTGTCCATCATTCTTTGGAATGGCACCATGCAAGCCAAAAGGCAAATCTTAGTACCAAAAAAGGCCATCAAGAGTAGGAAATGTGTTTGTTTTTTTGCTTTTGCTCTTTGAGTAGTACATTTGGTTAACTCTAGTGTAGTTATATACCGAGCTCTCAAGTCTTTCCACTAGCTCAAACTTAGAAATTGCATTCAGTTTACTATAATCATTACAAAACCGTACTGTACCATCAGGTTTTGGTACAAGAACAATTGGACTGCTCAAGTCATTGTGACTTCACAATTAGCCCAAGATCTAGCATTTTTTTTAACCTCTGCTTGAATAGCTTCTCTGGGAGCCGAAGATATTCTGTATGGTTTAAGATGAGCCCTTTTTCCTGGTTCTGAAGATGTTCGCGGACACCCTAACTCCACACCTGCTAGCCCTATACAATACTATCCAACACGGAGGCTCACTAGACTTGGTGCTAAAGGAAAATAAAGACCCCTCCTCCTGCGCCAGTTCAACCCCTACAGCCGGATCTCATAAACCCCGACCTTTGTTGAGGGACGAGAAGCCTGGGACAATACGATCAAAGCACTTAACCTGATTCACGCTGCACGAAAGGGATCCTCGCCCGCCTTACTGGTCTCGACAGACAGGGAGAAGGTGTTCGACAGGGTTGATTGGTTCTTCTTGGTGTCCATGCTTGAATACATAGGGCCGCACATGATGGCTTGGATCTCAGCCTTGTATATCGCCCTGGCCGCTCGAGTACAGGTCAACGGGATTCTGGTGTTGAGATTAAAAATGGCACCAGACAGGGATACCCGCTGTTACCCCTGCTCTTTGTCATCAGCCTGGAGCCGTTTCTAAGTGCCATAAGAGCTCATCCCCAAATAGCAGGAATTTGAGGCCAATGGGGGAACAGTCAAGTCTCCGCATATGAGGATGACCTGCTGATAACATCACAAATCCAGAATCCTCCCTAAGGGAGCTTATGCACTAATTCAACATTTACGGAAGACTGTCCAATTTGAAAATCAATTTCTCAAAATCCGAAATCCTCCACATGGGATGCCCCCAAGCACTGGTGACCACGCTGAAGACCGAGCTCCCCTTCTAATGGTGTGGGGAGGCAATCAAATATCTGGGGGTTTGGCTATCGGCGGACCTGTCAGACATCTACCGCATCAAGATTCATGGACATTTCCCCATATTACGTGGCTAGGGAGGATCCGTGTACTCAAAATGAACATACTCCCACGAATCCTGTATCTCCTGCAAACTCTACCGATCCACATTCCCAAAACGTTTCTCTCACAGACTCGTAAAACGATTATAGACTATGTCTGGCACCGCAAGAAGGCAAGGTTGAACTTTGCTACCCTCACCAAACCCAAGCAACATGGGGGATTGGGACTACCAGACCTGACAAAATATCGGCAAGCTGTTCACCTCCATTGACTGATTGAATGGACACACAACCCGAAAAACAAACTCTGGATCTCTATAGAGGCGAGCTTCTCGCAAACGTCCCTATCCTTCCTCCCATGGCTACAGAAAAACATGGCTTGTGGGCTACCGAGTAAACATCCAACTCTGAACGCCACTATGACTGTCTGGAGGAGAATGTAGTGTATGGCCCCAGAGCGATCACCACTATGTCCCATATCACACAACCCACGATTTTACCCAGCGATGTCCCCCCCGCTACACTACGGCCTTGGGACTACCTGTAGATTGAAAGATGTATACAAACAGGGCACTATCAGACCTCTGGGAGATATAGTCCCAAACACCCCACACAACCTGCTGCTCCGCTTCAGATACCATCAACTGACGAGATTCTTGAGGAGCATCCCCGATCTGGACTCCGTGTCAAGTTTAAAATGTCCTCATGTGATATATATCTTTCCCTCTGGGACTGTCCCGACATCCAATAAGTGTATTGTATTTTTCATTAAAAATAAAATTGGTAAATTAAACAAAACCACAAAACCCAAAGCCAAACAAAGTTCACACACGTCAGGTGTTGCAGTTTTTACATCAGGGGAGCTGTCCACAACATCTGGAGTGCCAAAGGCTGCTGATCCAGTTTACCACATAATATTTTCAAAGAATAGTTGCTGGTCTTTATATAGATATATTTTCTGTTTAAACCCATCACTCTGTTTAGGGCTTGCTATGCCGTCCTACAAAAGGAGAACTTTAACATCAATATGGCTGCAAAGCACACCCTGACGACCGGGCCCTCCCTCTGGATAGCCTTATCTTAGTGGTCAATCAAATCAGGGGTCTAGCCGGAAAACCCAAGCAGCCAATTGGAGTCATGTGATCGCTGTGTTTCGCCACGCATATGAAGCTCCAATCCAATGCTTCTCTATGATGATAAGGAGGTAATGTTTTCTTAAACTTATTTTTTAAAAGCAAAGTGCCGTGGACAAACGGGAGAGAATGAAACCTAAAGTCCCGAAAAAAATATTGTTATTTTCAGAACTACAAATTCCCCTTAAGCTATTCATGCTTACTGAAAGTCTACCTCAGATTATTAGGCGTCTTAGCCGTGGCTTCCTTTTATAGCCTTGCGCAGGTAAGTATGAGCTCTCTATCCTTGCTGCTTTCTCAAGGTGCTACACAGTCCTGGGTTTAACTCTTGTCTCTGCCTTCATGTTCTCAATGAATTTTAACATTCCCAAGTACCTATATTTTTCTACACTTCTATGGTGAAATTTAGACTGATATTGCAAATACATTTGGTTCATGCTTTGTGTTTTTATGGAATCATTCAGTTACAAGTGCTACCACTCTGAGCATGTATATTCCCAATTAAAGAGTTCTTCTACAAAAAATTGATAACTGCAAATAATGCTGAAGTAAAATGTTAAACATATAAAACGATATCCTCCACTAGTTAATGTAAACTTTGATATATTTTTTTCTTTATAAAAACTTAAGTAGATGTATTTCCATATATAGGAACTCTATAGTGTTGGGTTGAGTAAAACTACATATATGACATTAATACCACTAATGAAATAAAGAATTAACATTTTTGGGCTATACAAATTACAGAAAAAGTATTCACATGACAGACTCTGATCTCACCTGTTTCACATGAAAACTCAGAGAAATGAGAAATGTGACAAAAAAAAAAAAATCTACAAACAAAATTCTATTTGTGTCAAATGCATGAATAACAGAACATATTTTAGACTTTAAACAAAATTACTCGTTACCTTGTGTATATTCTGCATCATCTGATCCAACACTTAGTTTCCGTGCATCACTGATTCTATCGTGTGGTAAAACAGGGTCCTTTAGATGATGCATACCTTCTGACTCAAATGGATCAGTAAGGTTAAGGAGATTTTTGGGCTCAAACGTTGGGGATACTACCCCTGGAGAAACTGCAGGAGGTTTGTTTGGTGACACAGTTATTTTAAAAGTATATTTTGTGTTGGGCTGAGTCACTACCACACGTGGAGATGTGGCAGAGGTATTGTTGCCTAGTGCTCGGCTCTTGGGTGGATGATGGTGGATAAAAGCAGGTCCAGGGCCCATGCTTACTTGTCCAGAAACATTCCGTGTTGTGGAAGAAGATCCAGGGTTTGTGGATATGAAAAGTGTAGGCTGGTTCCTAACAACCTGGTCATCCCCACCTGGACCAGAAATGTAGACCTTTGGCTGAGTGCGGCCAATCATTTCCTCTGTGTTCGGAGGACTTGCAATGTAAACAGTAGGCTGGTTTCTTGTATGGCTGTTGGAAGAAGGGTTGGTAGAGCTTCGAGAACCAGTGGAACGCATCATTGATGAATTGCTTCTCTGTGGTGGTTCAAGTTTAATTTCTATTTGGTTTTTCCTAGGGCCTGTTGAGATATTCTGTATATTGTACTGGGTGGAGGGTTGTGACAGTCCACCAGATGAATGAAGAACTGGTGCCTGAGGAGTAGTGGGTGAACTAATAGGCATGTAGACATGGGAAGTCTGGTGACCCTGCTGGCTTGATTGCGTTGACTGTTGCAATGAGGTATGTGGCGGAGTATTGGAGGAAGGAAGTGACGTCCAGGGATTTGACTGGGATTGTTGGTAGACTTGTTGCTGAGGAATCTGAGACATCCACCCTGGCTGCTGTTGTGTCTGTCGACCTGTCCCACCTGGAGAAGTAATATAAGGCCTAATATAGATAGAATTGCCGTGTGGATTATTCACTACAGGTGGAGGCACAGTATGTATATGCAAAGATGTAGGGGTATTACGGCTAGACTGGATGTTTGGAGCCAAAGTCACCATAATAGGGCTGAACCTGGGTGTTTGTAATACTGATGAACTTTTACTGCCTACATGAAGTCCAAACTGATGCCCTTGGCTTGAAGAACCAATTGTATTGGTCATTCCAAAGACATTAAAGTTAGGATGTGGAGGTGCAGTATGTGGCTCTTGTTGATAAAGCTCATCATTGGCCTGTCCTCCCTGGAGATGTCCATCACTGATGCTGTGGGTCAAAGTCCTACTGCTTCCATTCATCCTACTTCCATCCCTTCCATCACAGTACACATTTTGTGGCTGCAAGTCCAAATTTAAATTCAGCGAAGTCATATGGTTTCTTAGCCCCACAATGCTAGGATCATCCAAGAGAGACAGATCCCCTTCACCATATAGATATTTAGTACTTTCTTGGGATAGAAAAGCACAGCAAGCATCCAGGTTGTTGTTGTTCTATTAAATGAAAAAGAGAAAAAAAAAAAAAAGACAGTGACATTAGGTTTGCAAAATTACATAAGGGCGATTTAGTGTAAACATAATTTTATGAGGACATGACTAGGCTAGTTTTAGTTTTTGTTCTCCCCCACCAGGCTGCATCTGTTGACAGAATGCATACAATAGCGAGCTAGGCTAATCTATCTCTACCACAAGAGAAATTATTTCAGGTTTGGATACATTCTTTTAAGATATCAGCTGACAGTTATACGAACATTTAGTCAAATATGTAGTAATATCTAGAAAAAATAAATACTTTCTTTGATGTATAGTTTACCATCTATTCAAATCTCATTAAAATACTACAATGTTATATACAACCAAGCATTCTGCTAGCATTTCCTGCTCTATTACATTGTCTGCCTACCTTTAAGTCATCAAAAATAATTACCCCTAAATCCCTTTCCTCAGATGTTGAGGTTAGTAGGGTATCAAATATCCTATACTCTGCCCTTGGGTTTTTACGACCAAGGTGCATTATCTTGCACTTATCCACATTAAATGTCAGTTGCCACAACTCTGACAATTTTTCTAGTTTACCTAAATCATTTGCCATTTGGCTTATCCCTCCTGGAACATCAACCCTGTTATATATCTTAGTATCATCAGCAAAAAGACATACCTTACCATCAAGACCTTCTGCAATATCACTAATAAAAATATTAAAGAGAATGGGTCCAAGTACAGATCCCTGAGGTACCCCACTGGTGACAAGTCCAAGCTTCGAATATATTCCATTAACTACAACCCTCTGTTGCCTGTCACTCAGCCACTGCCTTACCCATTCAACAATATTGGAATCCAAACTTAAAGATTGCAGTTTATTGATAAGCCTTCTGTGTGCAACAGTGTCAAAAGTCTTACCGAAATCTAGGTAAGCAATGTCTACTGCACCACCCTGATATATAATTTTAGTTACCCAATCAAAAAAAAATCAAAAAAAAAAAATCAATAAGCTTAGTTTGGCATGATCTCCCTAAAGTAAACCCATGTTGTCTCTGATCGTGAAATACATGTGATTTTAGATGTTCAACAATCCTATCCTTTAACATGGTTTCCATTACTTTCCCCACTACTGAAGTAAGGCTTACTGGCCTATAGTTGCCCGACTCCTCCCTATTACCTTTCTTGTAAATGGGCACAATATTCGCTAACTTCCAATCTTCTGGGACTACTCCTGTTAACAATGATTGGTTAAATAAATCTGTTAATGGTTTTGCTAGTACACCACTAAACTCTTTTAATAACTTTGGGTGTATTTCATCAGGTCCCAATGACTTGTCTTTACTTTTGACAGTTGAAAGCGAACCTTTTCCTTTGTAAACTCACATGTAACAAATGACTCATTTGTCCTCCTTCTGATTTATGCACAGGCAGAACTTCAGAGAATGACCGTGTGGAAGCAACCTGCCGTATATCATTGGCAAAAACACAAAAAACTTCCTTTACCTCTGAAACCTCATTGCAAGCCATGTCAATTCATCTTCCTGCTTTGCTCACTTAACAATATTACAAATACAATTATAAGTCCAAAAGAATCGCACCTAGGTACAGTTCAAAGGGTCCAGGAGCTGTTCTACCCAATAATGGCTTGTGTATAGAATGACTTGCAACAATTCTTCAAATATAGCAACAATATGTATGGTGTGTATAGGGTGAATTCCTGTTTTTGTCCAGTATTCTGAGCGACCCACTGGAAGTCAGACTCCCTCAACCCTGTGTGTTGCACTAGGCATACCGAATTTTTATAATATTACAAATACGTCTCCTGTCAATGTGAGCAGTAGCTCCAGGAAGACATCTCACAAGACCACTATTGTCCAGCTCGACACCTCTTATGATAGAAGTTTAATCATAAAGTTGTTTTGATGACTATAGTGTGCCTTTAAATGCATACAGGTTTACTTTGGGGTATATCTATTAAACCGTGATGATTAGTGATCACAAGGACACTTGTGTGGAGGAACTCAAGCACCCTACACACACTGCACTAACCTCAACCACACAACTTTTTTGGATGAATTGGGATGTTTACAATGAGTCAGACCTTTTCATCCAACATCAGTGTCTGACCTCACAAGTGCTCTTTTTGCTGAACAGACTTAAAGGGACACTGTGGGCACCTAGACCACTTCAGCTCATTGGAGTGGTCTGGGTACAGTGTCCCTTTTGCACTTTGCAAAACATTGCAGTTCCATAGAAAATGCATTGTTAACATTGCAGCGCTAAGTCCGCCCTAGAGGGCTTCCTGAATTGAAAGGGACCTTTGGTACGGTATCAGATGATGGAGGTCCTCGCACTCTGCATGATTACCTTCAGCGTCAGATATTTTCCTCATAGGAAAGCATTCTAGATTCTGCGCATTAGACCCCGCTTGTCGTGGGACAGAGGAGGGGGCAGAGCTTTGAACCAGTGCTGGGAAAAGGTAAGTAAGTAAAGGGGTTTTAACCCTTTATTTACCGAGGGAAGGGGGGTGGGGAGGGAGCTTTGTATTCCTGGCACTACAGTATCCCTTTAATCCAAAGTCTTGTTGAACGTCTTCTTAGAATAGTGGCAGCTGTTATAGCTGCAAAAGGTGGCCATACTCCTACTTAATACAAATGATATTGGAATGAGATCTCCAACAAGCTCATGTCCACATACTTTTGGCAATTCAGTGTCAGTGTGCCAGTATATACACACACTTTTCTTTGGTTTTGTTTGAAATGTTCTTGGGAGAAAAGTGCTAAATTACTGGTTGCTGTGTATGAGTTGTGGATTAATGATTATAGATGGATTCCCTTTAACTATCCCAGTACAGCACACAACACTATTAGACACACATTTCAATGTAATGAGGACTGTACCTTTATCAGTAAAAATAAATATATTTAAAAAAAAAAACATTTCTACATGTCAGTTATCTCTAAAACACAGACCTGCTGCATGCATCGAGAAACAACAACTTCAGGCACTTCAGGGAATTTTTGCCGCAGGTCATTTAAAACCTGAAAGTCAACTTGCGGGCTTCCTTGGGCCATTCGTATATTGCCTATGCAGAACTGTTCTTAATCAGACAGTTCTAGGCAATGGTGGGAGCCGGACTCATCTCATCTGCTTAAGCATCTTTTGTGGGATAGGGAAAAAACAAAAAGTTAACATAACATAGATTTCCATAAAACAAGACAATTACAGTTAACATTTGTGGATGAACATAATGTTGCAGTTATAGACAAAAGAAGTAGGAGGATAAGTTATATATACACACAGAAATTATTTTGAGCATTCAAAATGTAGCTCAAGAGAATTAAACATTGCATTGCATTGAAAGAGTTACTCATACTTGTGCTAGCAAGGAATCTTAGCAAGGATAGCCCTGCTACAGAAAGTGTCCTGAAGCAGGGTCAATAGCAGCAATGAGAAGGCATGACAGGATGGTAGGTGTTATGAAATATGATACTCAAGGATCTACCAGAAATGGCAGAACTATAGCGATGGGCAAAAGGTAAGTAATACTAGATAAGCTCCTAACTGTGATAAATTACATATTTATTGCCTTAGGAGCTGTAATATGCTGTAAAGTGAACCTGTCTTTGCAGGTTCACTATTAAAAAAAACACAATGGAGGTTTTATTCAAATATTTTTAAGCACAGGTAAGTATTTCCTATCATATTTAAAGATAAACATTTGCTTTATTATAAGGAGAATTCGAGTTATACAAGATAAAAACCTATTTCACACATCAAGACCTTAATCACATTAACAAGAGTTCTTTACATTCTTTACATACTGTACTAAAGACACAAAAATGGGTCTGGAATTTTTTTGTAGAGAGTAACCATTAATTGAATTAGACATATTTGTCAGACACAAGGCAGCGTTCTATATTATTTACTGGCTACATTTTGCAATGAAGATTCAAATCGACAAAGAGAAAAAAATATATTAAAACACATCAATAAATATCGAATTTGCTTTGCAAATTTATTTTGTTATATATAAAACATTTGAAGAATGGATCACTAACCATACTATAAAGCAGTGGTTTTAACAGGAACCAAAATGATATCTTTTGCAAGGGCCTAAGGTGTGATGCTTCACAAACATTTCTGTACTGTATATGTGCACACAGATGCTAAAATTAGATTTAAGCATTGGAACGGAAATGTGCAATTAAACTTAGTTGCCAGTAGCAGACACCTTTTAAACAACTTTGCAACTACATGGGTAGTTTAATGGGTTGTGCAAGTAGTTTGGGAAGAAAGTCAAGAACATAGCAAGATTTCACATTAACAGTATTTAGGTTACTGAAATTACCTTAAGTGCCCTTGCAGTCTTTCAAACCTCTGCCCTTACCGCATTTTCTAAAAGAAAAGAAAAGGATGAGAATCTACAAAATAACTTTAAAAATCTTTTTTCTATAATTTAATAAAACATGACTGCAACATGAAATTGCACAGCACTGCCAAACAGTGTACATAAATGTATTTTTTTTAACTTAAAAATGGTCTCTTGGCATTCTCTCACTTAACAGTCATTCAGTTTTGTGCCTTCACCATACACCTGTTCTAATTCTATTTAGAGTAAAGTGGATCTGTCATCTTAATTATCTTTGCATCCTCATAAGCTACATTTTAGAGGTTTTTTTTATTTTTTTTATGCATTTTCAGTCTAAATCAAGGATATGTTTAGAAGTAACTGTTCTTGTGGGCACCTGTCCTTTTTCCACCAGCAGGCATTCAACTATAAGATTCCCTCATCCCTGCAGTTAAAGGATCACTATAGGGTCAGGAAAACAAACATGTATTCCTCACCCTATAGTGTTTAACCCACCATTTAGGTGGCTTTCTCCCCCTTACCCCCCCTATAAAAGTTTAAAACTCACATTATTTCCAGTGCCGCGTTGGTCTACCGGCGCTTACTCCGCCCCCTTTGTGACATCAAAATTGCCGATTTTTATCCAATCCTGGGGAAAGCATTGGATTGGCTAAAATCAGCACGGGGCGGGGCCAAATGCAGTTGTGGCCAATCAGGACCTCCTCAATAATTAATTCAGCGTCTCCAGAGCGTGGGGACTCTGAATGGCAGGGCTGCTTACTGTGCAGCCCTGAGCCAGGATGCCCCTCCAGTGGCCATCTAAGGAATGGTCACTTGGAGGTATCCCTAGAAGAAATATAAACACTGCCTTTTCTCTAAAAAGGCAGTGTTTACATGAAAATGCCTGAAGGGAGCTATTATACTCACCAGAACAACTACATTAAGCGGTAGCTGTTCTGGTGACTATAGTGTCCCTTTAAATGTTGGTTTCTACTGAGGAAATCCCAGGCTCTAATTGATTACTGCCATCACATACTCTTCGAATAATGTTTTAATCAGTAACAGTCCGAAAAAAATAAAAAATAAAAATAGGGCAATTTCACCCCTTTCAAGGATGACCAGCTTATCTGTGGGGAAAAAAGGTTTGTGTGCAAGTATTCCAGTTAACTTTATTATACAAAGATGAGATATTTTCTATATACTAAATAGATGTTTACATTGTAGTTGGAAAGTAATCTAGGTGGATAAAAATGCGTAAGTCCATTAAGTATAATATTTAAAACCAATTACTTTATGCTGTTGATACAAAAGGCAAAAAAAACAAAAAAAACACAAAACACTATTTCCAATTTGACACAAAAAAAGGGTGGGAAAATCCTTCTTGACTCCATAATGGTAATTAGATTTCTCCTTGAATCAAAAACAAAATTGTGTCATTTATTTTTAAATACTACAGATTCTAAGAACTTCTTTGGGTTGAGAATTCCACATCTTTATTGCTCTTAATATTAAAAAAGTCATCTTCTGCTGTAATTGAAAAAACCTTTCTTCCAGTCTCAACAGGAGACTTCATGTTGTATATTACAGTTAAATAACATGTTTGCACATAGCGACTTGTAATAACCATGTATATATCTGTATAGTGCATTATATAGTATCCGGAACACCTTTTTTTTTTCTAAATAAAATATGCGGTCTGGTTTGGTTTTTTTGTTTATTTTTAGCATTACCTAATAACCAATGTTTCTTTATTAACTTTGTGGATGCCCTCTGCACTTATTCTACTTCTGCAATATCCTTTAAGTGAACCTAAATTAAAATTTTAGCTAAAACCATCCCAAATACATTGAATACATCATATATCATACATCAGAAATACAAGATGCATTCAATGTAAAATATTGAGATTTACTCACCTTGCCTACGTTCCTGCATTGCCATTTTCTGAGCTTCATGGGAGTTACTCTTCATGTAACACTCAGCTCCTGTCTAACCAGGCTCAGCTTGCTGACTTCTGTCATTCGCCCTGTTTGGGGACACTGCCCCAAGCAGGGCAAGCGTCTCCATTATGCAGACAAATTGGCTTTGGCCAGCATTGTCACTCCGTTCCTATTATTCCTAGCCAGTGCAGGGCATGCAGAAGGACTGCCTGTGGCAAAGATTTGACTGAGAAAGAAAGAAAAACGATTTTTAAATAGATTCAGCGTCTCCACCCTCTGCATGAACACACTGAACTTTCGGCATAGAGATGCACTGATTCAATACATTTCTTTGAAGAAATGCTGATTGGCCAGGGCTGTTTGGTTTGTGCTGCATCTGTCCCTGATCTGCCTAATTGACAGTCTCAGCCAATCCAATGCTTTTCTGTGTGGAAGAATTGTGATTGGCTCAGAACACTTCTTATAAGGTCACAAAGCAGGCTGATCAGGGGCAGAGCCAGCAGCAGGAGATTGGAATAACCGTAAGATTTTGCTATATTTAAGGGGGCAAGTGGGGGCCACGGTCACTAGGTGGTGTTTCTAACACTGTAGGGTCAGGAATACATGTTTGCATTCCTGACCCTATAGTGTTCCTTTGATTTGTAACACTTTAGATTGTATTAATAATAAATCCGGTTTCATATATAAATATCTGATGTGAAATTAAAGCCCTGTTAATCGTGAGCAAAATATAGAATAAGTGTGGGTGCACTTCATATCAAAAAAGAGGTAACCATAGCTCAGAATCTAGGTTTTGTTTTGGTTCAAAACTTGGCCAATTGCTTCAAGCATATAGTAATTGCTATTGTTTACTGTCTGTATATTATATTTCATATTTTCGGCTTCAACAAATTGCTGAGAAGCAGTAATTAATTTACTCTGAAAGTTATCTTAGTATTGTATATTGTTGAAGTATACTTTATATTAATAGAATTAAAACACGCATACCAATTAGTATTTTAAAAGAAGTATGATCCATGTGTTTATATCGACGCCTTGGCTTTAAGAATGTGTATAAGGTCACTGGTATATGCATTTCTGACAATTTTTCTACCGCTATATTTATACCAATTTTGTAAAAAAAAAAAAAAATAAAATACTTGATATACACAGTGATGTATTTAGGATCTGTACTGCCCTAGGCATGACGGAACTTGGGCACCCCCTAATTTACATTTGCCCCACCCCTTCCTGTCAATGCCACACCTCTTCCTGTTAAACGACTAATACACACAGAGACACACATACACACACACAGAGACACAGCCAGACACACAGCCAGCCCGACACACACACAGCCACACACACACACACTGACAGCCAGCCCCCCACACACACACAGACAGCCAGCCCCCCACACACACACAGACAGCCAGCCCCCCACACACACACACACAGACAGCCAGCCCCCACACACACACACAGACAGCCAGCCCCCACACACACATTGACAGCCCTCCCACACACACACACATCTCCCCACACACACATTGACAGCCCTCCCCACACACTGACAGCCCCCCCACACACACACACACACCCCACAGCCCCCACACACACACACACATTGACAGCCCCCACACACACACACACATTGGGACAGCCCCCACACACACACACACATTGACAGCCCCCCACACACACACACACACACACACACATTGATAAACACACACACACACATTGACAGCCCCCACACACACTGACAAAAAACACAAAACACTATTTCCAATTTGACACAAAA